ACCCCAAGGGAGGACATCCAGCACACAGTAATCTCGTGTGTGGGAAATTAACGTCTCTTACCCCTTACCCTTTAAGAGACGGGACCTCCGGCTTTACGTCCTATCTGAGAAGACGAAACAATGTGAGTGAAGTGTCTTGCTTAAGGACTCAACGTTAAGCCCCAGCCAGGACTTGAACCCGGGCCATTTAACCCAGAGTCCAGCGCACTGACCACTGGACTACTCACACCTTATTTTCATGACACTCCTCACCCAATCATATTTTCAATTCTACAGACTGGTTTGCAACACAATGGATTGAAATTCTGAAGAGGATTAACATGTTTGTCACTTAAGTTATAAGTGTTTATAAAACAAGGTCTTCACATTACAGGCTTCACTTTTCTGGTGAACATTTAGCATCACTGTAGCAAAGCCACAAATCAACTTACGGCAATTTTTCTCCACTGCTTGGAACAAAAGCCTTTCCTATGTTACGCTTACTGCTCTTCAGCTTGTCCTGTCTTCGCCGCTTTACAGGATCCGCAAAGGCCTCCCCTTCCATTATTCTGTTGAATTTTTGATCAAAATATCCTGCCTGAAGGGCTGATCGTGATTTGCTCCCACCAGGGAGCATTTGTTTTCCTTTGCGAGCAGCCATATTGAAATCTACAGAAATTAAAGAAAAAGAAATAAAAATAAATAACTTTATTTAATTCTTAATCTTATAGCCAAGTGTAAAGCTTTTACTGCTGTAATCTGGGAGATAATAATAGCAAAAATATCACATAAAAAATAAAAATCACTCTAGGAGCTTGAAGGCTCTGCTTGCAGTAGCATGAAGTGAATAGAAATACTTTTCTCATACCCTCCTCCCCCCCCCCCCCCTTGATAGGATCCAGACCCATTGCAGGGTTACCCCTTAATTTCCACTGCGAACATTCTATCAGGTTTCTTGGGCAGATTAGCCTTTTGGGCTCCATTGTTCCTGGGTTGAATAACTAGCCCTGGGTTAAATTGTAATCTGATTTCTTTTCTTTTTTTTCAAAGCATTTCTCAGATAATTTTATCAGATAATTTTCTCAATTCTTTTTGGAGCGCCCAATCATCAAATTGTAGACGGAGCGAATTAAACTGTATTTGCTCTTCAAACTTTCATTTATGAATTCCAATTTGAAACTTAACCCTGGGTTATCTTAATTCAGTTTTAATAACTCAACATAACTCAAACCTGGCCCTTTGATCCTTAGTTCCGTACTCTCACCACTAGTTAGTCAAGTTCCAAATAAGAATTATGCCGAATTATATTCAACCATGTGTTTGAACAAGCAAACTCGGTCAATATAGGATTCAGTACAATCAATCTTACGGTTGAAATGCCTTATGCATAAAACATGTTGTTGTTTTCCTTGTTTAACGATCGTCAAGACGGCTTAATGCTTTAAATAAAATTTCTGTAATTTTTTTAGCAGAATAAAGGCTTACAACACTCTACTGAACCTTCACCTTGGAACATGCACAAAAAGTATGTTAATTGATCGATTTAGGGTTTTCATCTTTGTGTCGAATTCTTTGTTGAACGACTAATTTTCTTGGACTGTAGCTGCTTGGTCCAACCACTGAATTAAATTTTAAATTCAACCTAGGATATTGCTTTAAACCTTACCTGTGCTTTTCCTTTTAAAAGGATCACCAATCGAGATATAGCCGAGCTCGCTAAACAAGCCGACGCGATTCAAATCGTTTTTAGTATCCAACTTCGCCATTTTTTACCGAAAAATTGATGCTAAGCCTACAGCTTATAAAAGAAACGTTCTGGAAGAAGATTTGATCTAGATTTTGAAAGTCTTCAGAGCTGATGAGGTAAAAAGTTTTTTTAAACTTTGCTCCATCAACAAAGCGTGTGTTTTGCACGAAACCTTGCGTTGTCATAACAACCAACTGCTTAGTAGCCATCCTCACGTTTTTTCGTGGCGATCTGGAAGAAAGCTAGTTAAGTAATGGCGGATTAGTCTAACAATGGGAGATTTGCGTAAGTTGCCGTAGTTTCTTGCTAAGATTTAACCCTTTCCCTCTCGATTGTTGCCTTAAAGGATATATCAGCCATAGTATTGATGGCTGAGCGTGAAGAAGATGTCTATGAGAGAAAGGAAAGCAAGAAAGATAAGGGGTATGTGGCATTTCGATCGGATGATGACAGCGTCGGCGAAGAAGAGGAAGAAGAATCCAGGTGAATGATTTTTAAATTTGTGGTTGTTGATCCCTCTTATTTTCTCACTCTTTCAGTTTTATAGGCCAGAGAAAATCTTTTATCAGAATCTCTAGAGCGATTTCAGTTTGTTTACATTTTAAGAATGTATAAAAGAGTCAATATTTTGACCTCGCCGCTCCCTTCGTTCTAACATTTGAAACGAAAGTTTTCTTTTATAACTTGTAACTTTACCCTAGACTATTTTTGTCAATGTCCACTTAACCCAGTTAAAATCACACTATAGAGAGCATGATTTTAGATGAATTGTAAATGCTAATGGAGCATTTTTTTTTTCATTTTTGTTTTAAAACATTAAATGTGATAACGATCATTATGTCATGTATTTCAAAGGGATTCCGGCGAATGCAATCCCTAATTAATTCAGTGTGACACTCGAATCCGCTTCTCTGTCAAGCAGGAAGTAAAGCGGCAAAGGTATTGCTGATTAATTGAATGTACCCACGAAAACAAAGAAAAGGTGATCACTCATCGTTTCCATTCATAAAATCGCAACACAATAGCTTTCCGAACAGGTGCAAGTGTGAACAAAGGTTGCTCGAACTCTTAGGTATCCTCTGGCCACTCCTAAACTAAGAGCAGATTATATTAAGAAACCAAGCAAAATGCAAAAACACTCTTCCATTGGAATTTGTTTTCATGCTTTTAAAAAAAAATTATTGCCAAGCTGTATTGAATTCTAAATTTGGCTTTATTCCCATGCACATGTACAGGTAAATAAAGATGGTAACAGTTCTAATTCAAAGAGCTGAATAGTAAATTTCTCCTCTCCAGCTGCTATGCATTTAACTCTAAATGATTCAGGAGAATTTGTTATTTCATCTAGAAAACACCCTCTGGTTGACAAGGTTATCTATTCCCATAAACCATACATTTAGACCCTAGGGAGAAGTTTCTTTGTGATCACTTTCATGGGATAAAGCTGGCTTAAAGGAAATTCAATGCTAAACAGACCTGCTGTGTTGAAATATGTAAATGTATTCATTTTGTGTTTCCTGTGACATGGAAAGAGACAAAACCTATTCATGCACAAAGGTTTGATTTTGTTGAGGGAGAAACTGACAATGATAAGGCAAACTTGTTTCATCTTTACAAAGAGATTAAAAAACTCTTCAGAATTTGAAGGAGGATGTTATCAGCTCTCCTCAGTCAAAAGGTGAAGTACACTCAACTTTTAAGTATTTTCTTGAGGGTTTTTTATGCTTTGTGATGAATACTGTTTGAAAAATTGTCTTTGTTTCATGGTTTTTTTGTCCCCCTTTATGGTAATTTCCCAGACCTAAAGGCAAGAAAGTCAAGAGAGAGAAATCAAGGTCACTGGCTCTTCGTATAAAACCCAAAAAACAGAAGAAGGAGAAGGAGAATAAAGAAAAAGAAAAAGAAAAAGAAAAGAAGAAGAAGAAGAAATCAGAAACATGCTCACCTCCTCAGGCACCAAGTAAGCAAGGAACAAACTGTTTTCACAAAAAAGGGCAAAGAAGTTATTGTGTTGTTTTAGCTATGTTTAAACCAGAATGCATCCAAATTCCTTGAAAGATCATGTACAATGCAAGAAACATCCAGGCATTCACATCTACATTCTAAAAAAAAGAAAACATCATGTGGAAAAGAAAATCTTTACACATGTGAGTCAGTTCTGTCCTCAGAGTCTTGATTTACTTGGACTGGTTCCATTCATCAATGACTCTGACAGAATTTATGATTTGTTGTCCTACTAAACTCATTTGCCACTAGGACTTTAATATTTGTTTATTTATTTTTTTTTGCACTCGTTTTTTTTTTGTTTTTTTGTTTTGCTATCTGTAAACTTAAGAGAGAAATTTTGAGAAATCTGTATAACAATAGATCTATGAGTGTTGTACTGTATTCTTCCAGGGAAGGCTGTGTTCGGAGTTCCTTTAGAAGTTGCAGTCAAACAGTCCAGTCTTCCAGATGGAGTAGAGCTGCCTAGAGTATTCAGAGATGGGATCGTTTACATTGAAGAAAATTGTAAGATGGCGAGAGTCTACTAAATAGACTTTCAGAATAAACTTAATTACAAGCATTTGGTCCACATGTGAGGTGGTTATCTGTGGCAGGGCTTATTGCCACAAATACTGCCAAAGGTTACCACATACAGTTTGTCATGAAATTTCATGTAATTTCAATGTATATTTTTTTAAAAGTTATGTTTGATCTTCAGGTCTAGAAATTGAAGGAATTTACAGAGTATCTGGGATGAAGTCTAAGGTAGACTCCTTAAAGGAATTGTATGACCAAGGTAGAGACACATTTCTTTGGCGATTTTGTGACAAGTGACCATTTGACCCTATAGATGTCATCTAATTACTCCTTACAATGTCACCCCAAATCAAACCAGTAATGAGAATTAAGGAAATGATCACCATCTGAATAAGTCCTTGATTGTTAAACAAATTCTCCTTGTCAGCAGTTTAGGAAATGTGTAGAGATCAATGTATAGGGACCAGACCCCTCCATCTATCTACTAGATTTGATACTTCTTACAAATTATTAAATAAATATTTATATTCATTTTAAGGAAAGTCAGTGGATCTCACAGAGTATGAAGCTGAAGCTGTGACCAGCCTGATTAAGCTGTACATCCGAGAATTACCTGAAAACATTCTCACCTCTGCATTGCTTCCAAAGTTCAATGAAATATCAGGTGAGAAAAATAAAAACATGCATTTTTACTGTGGATATAATTAATCTCAAACTGATAAAGGTACTCTTGAAGTAGCTATATCAGTTTTTTTCAGTCCCTTTTAACAGTGGTTATACTAACCAAAAAAACAGTACAAAGCGGTTGTGGTCAGGTTTTTTTTAACTGACTCTTCCATTCTTTACTGAAACTGGATTTGATACTTGAAATAGTCTTTAAATAAGAACTTGGATTCAATTTGTGTACCATTGGATAATTATCAATTTTTTTTTAAACATTATTTATAGCGATACAAGAAAGAAAAGATCAACTGGAGAAGGCCAAACTTCTCTTAGATGAGTTACCAGCATGTAACAGAACATTATTGGCTTGGCTCTTTACTCATATGTCACATGTTATGGAAAAGGTTTGAGCATTTGATCCCTTTACACCCAAACATGGGTAATTTTCTTTTCTCTATATTGTTCTCTATGCATTTCTGAAGGTGCTGACACAGTCAAGAGCTTCTTTAGTTGATAATCATTTCATTTATTCTCATGACCTTAATGTGTGATTCAGTGGTGATATTGTAATGAGAAATTAGATGCTAATCACTCCTAGGGGTCAATAAGTTAAACCTAGTCTAGTTAGTTCTGTTTTTTTTTTTTTAACCTTGTCACACTAAAGAAGCAGGGATGGTGCAAGGGGGAACAGGGATAGTGCAGGGGGGAACAGGGATGGTGCAGGGGGGAACAGGGATGGTGCAGGGGGAACAGGGATAGTGCAGGGGGCAACAGGGATGGTGCAGGAGGGAATAGGGATGGTGCAGGGGGGAACAGGGGTGGTGTAGGGGGGAACAGGGATGGTGCATGGGGGAACAGGGATGGTGCCGGGGGGAACAGGGATAGTGCAGGGTGGAACAGGGATGGTGCAGTGGTCAGAACACTTGCCTCCCTCCACTGTGGCCTGGGTTCGATTCTCAGACATGGCGTCACATGTGGGTTGAGTTTGTTGTTGTTGCTTGTTGGTTCTTGTTCTTGCTCTGTGGGTTTTTCTCTGGGTCCTCTGGTTTTCCTGCCTCTACAAAAACCAACATTCCAGATCCCAATTTGATCTGGAAACAGTGAACAAGAAGAGTTACCCAGTGGAATGTCCATTGCTAAATTTATTTAGTTATTTATTGTTATTTATTATTATTATTATTATTATTATTATTATTATTATTATTATTATTATTATTATTAAAGAATACTGGCAAATTGAATTTCAATCACCCTTTACAGAAAACATGTCTTATGCATCTTAGTGAAAACCCTGCTCTTATTTACAGATCTTTATGATCTTTCATTTTCTAGTATTCGTCCAACAGAATGAATCTACAGAACATTGGCATAGTTCTCAGTCCAACAATGAACATAGGACATGGCATTCTGTTCATCTTCCTAAATTATGTCAGCGAACTCTTCCCTGATACAAAAATTACAAGGTGAGTATTGGTTCTTCTAGGAGGGGGGGTGGCCTTAGTTGGCAGCCTGTTGAAGAGCTATTGAAAGTGAGTCTAGTACAATAACTGGTGTTCCTGAAGGTATGTACCAGGAATGGGGGGAGGAGGAGAGGGAGAGAGGGGGGGAGGGGAGAGAAGGTAGGGAAAGAGGAGAGGGGAGAGAAGGTAGGGGGAAGAGGAGAGGGGGGAGGGAGAGAGGGGAGAGAAGGTAGGGGGAAGAGGAGAGGGGAGAGAAGGTAGGCAGAGAGGAGAGAGGGGAGGGGAGGTAGGGGGAAGAGAGGGGAGGTAGGTGGGTCAATTGAGGAAATACTTTACAGTGAGTGGCTGGACTGGTTGTTAGGTTGGTGCAGGTAAAGAAAGAGGGGGATTAGTTGAATAAAAACATCCACTTTGATTTTGGTTTTAAGACACTCAACTGCAAAGCAGTTTTTGTTTAAAGTTATAACATTTTATTTATGATGATAGGTACAATGAGTCACTCACCAAGACTGTCAGAAGGGATGAAGATGAGGAAGATTTACCCAGTAGTCCTGAGTAAGAAAATGAACTGCATTTTTTTTTCAATTTTACTTGAACCTGTTTGTAGCTCTCTGAGGAAAATCACCTAAGATGCTTGTACTACGTGTTACTATCAAATAAAATGCAGCTCAACAAATGATTTTCCCTCCCATTCTAGGAGATTCTTATTCCCTCCTACTGAAATAAGTTATGAGAACAAGTGGTTTTATTTATGAATCAGAATATGTTACTGGTAGTTCTAGAGATTCTGAAAAAAAATTTCCAAAAGATCAAATGGACCTCTACTGCCCAACATTTTGACACATTTCTCTGACAGTTTTAAGATGGAGACAGGCCCTTCAAGAGTAAATTGGCATTTCAAAGAAGAAATCAAAGTGACCCAGCCAAGTATTGGCAAAGAGGTTTTGAACCTTAGTCTAGTGCATCAACCCTGAGGTGCACATTGACCTATTGGCCACTACTTTTCTATCTGATTATTACACACTGCTGGTAACTATAGAATAAAAAATTGTGTATCTTTGTCGAAATTTCCACAGTGCAATAGCGTCAGCACTGGCCAAACAAGAGAAAGTTCTCTCTCAACTTCATGAACATCTCAACATGAAAACAACAGAAAATTTGCAGGTAATTAACCAATTACTTCAGTTTGTAATTGTCATAGGACTTGCACACGAGCCTCTAAGTGGCTCACGCCCATCCTACTTCCATAGCTTGAAGCACCCAAGAGTACTCCCGCTCCCCATCGGATGAGAAGCCATGCTCAGCCCATAAATTCCATTAATAGAAAAAACATGGTCCCTGATTCCAATTATTCTTGCTTTGGGTGTTGAAAAAGAAAAAAAGATTTTGGAACAATGCCAATTATTGTAAGTTACGTTATTAATTTTCTGATTGACTGTGTTGGATTGTTGTCTGTTTTTCAGTTTGCGGGTCAAGATGAAATGCTCTGGGAAGTCCAACGGAAGGTGACCCTTCTCAAGAGAAAGGTATATGAATGACTAAATTTTTAAGAGGTGCCAGGTAGTTCCTTTGACTGTAAGATTAGTGTCTTGGTTGTCTTTCACAAAATAGACAATCCCATTATTATTGTAGCAAAGGGTAAGTTCTGGTGTTTAAGGGTTTTTCTGTAATCTTTTTTTTTCAACATATTCATGATCATTCCTTGTCTACAAGACAAAACTTATTGTCTCTTTTTTCTTTCTCATTTTTTAGCTAAGGAATGCCAAGAAGAAAATTTCTCAGACCATACAACCAGAGGAAATCCAGAAAACTCAAGTTGTTGTTGAGAAGGTGGAACATCCTGCTGAAAAACCAGCTGAAGACAATGGTAATTTGGAAATTTTAGGTTATTTTACTCGGAAAGAACCATATATTGATTTGTCAAAATGTTTAAAATTTGTCATGTGCCAATTTGGATTTACTTTTACCAAACTTTACCTCTCTCTCTTTTCTTTTTCTGTGTGTGTGTGTGTGTGAGCCTATACAGTGTCTGTTTAGGTAGCCCGCCTAGAATAGCTTTGCTAACTGCGGGCTACAAAAGCCTTTATTTCTTTCATTTTAAAAAAAAAAAATAAAGTCAATGTCAAAAAAAAAAAAAGTCAATGTCAGCCAAATTTTGCATGTCTTCCATGTTTTTCACTTCAAGAAACTTACTGACAGTTTGAGGCATGTGATGTTGAAACTTCCTCCTGACAAGGGGTAGGGCAGTGCACCTCAAAGCCCCTACCCAACCCCACTTAAGCTTTCCTCTTGATTTTGCAAGGGTTGAGGGCACCCCAGACCCTCAACCAGCCTCTCCAGCTTTCCTCTTTATATGCAGGATACAGTGCAACCCAAAGCAGCTCCCCTCACCACCCCCGACCACCCCCCCTGAGCTTTTGTCATGATTTCCCAGGTGAATCAAAGTGAGTTGTTTTTTTTTTCCCAGGGTTCATTGCTCTTTTAGAAGCCTCTGAAGCAGAACTGTTACTTGAGCAAGAAGTAAGGGGATGGTAAAATTTTAAGGTTTAATTCTTTTCAATTTGCTGTTCCCCAATTTGAAATACTGATTGAATCATACGATGAAAATCAGTCTGAAAATGGCAGATGCTGCTTCATTAACTTTTACTATCAATTTCTCTAAGAACAGTTAACTTTTTTACTTTTTTGGCAGGAGTTGACCCTAATTGGAAATGAGTTAAGGAGACGGATTGAAAATGAGAAGAAAGAGATTGAAAGATTGAGTGTAAGTGACTTATTCAAACTTTTGCACTCTCAAAATTTGAGAGCATGACTTTTGAACTGATAGTCAGACATTTCTTTATTTGCTCTTCACAAGATGGATGTCTTCTGTGAGGATTACATTGTATCATTCAACAATCTGAAATAGTGGATGAAATAGCTCTTAAGGAAAAAGATCAGGATGGTGCAGCACATATAAGTTTACGATTAGATCTACCTAAAAAAATAAAAATTAGATTGGAAATCTGGAAACCACTTTTTATGAGCTAGAAGAATATTGAAAAAAGGATATGTAGGCTGAAAAATCAATAGAATACTTAGGTTTTTATTCTTTTAGGAGGGTTTGATTAATAAGCCCATTTTTTTGCCAGCTAGGTAATAAATATCTTAATTGTAAATATGCATTTTCTTTGTTTGTTTTTCATGAGATTGTAATGTTAAATAGAAATTTTGCTGTATCATTAACCAGACTGAAATAACAGCTGTCATGGTTGCAAAGGAACAGGATCCTGATTCCACTGCAGACAGAAGTTCTGATTCAGATTCATCTGAAGATGAAGTTGTATCCTTTCTATGATCAGAATGCTGTCAGTATTAGTGATAGAAAAAAAATTAACCGCATGTGGGTGAATCTGACATAATTAATCGGAAAAATGCTCATTGTAGTTTTTTCCTTTAAAATATAATTAATTTTATAATAAAATAATTGTCTATGATAAATTTTCCTTAACTTAATAAAATGAAGGAAAATGAGGATGACCTTGAAAGAATGTTGGCAGAACTTATCGAACAAAATGCAGAACTGGAGGTATGTAACATTTGATTTTCAATTCATTAAAATTTCATTATGGACCTTCTCACCAAATGAATTTAACACCAATTTGACTAAAATAAGATTTTTTAAATTTAACATATTTGGGGCTGGATGTTTAGATGAGGTTGTACCCAAACAGTGGTTTTCTGCAAGCAGTGGGCCTTATATTCTCTCTATAGCAGGGTTGTTTCCATTTAATATATCTCCTTCTAATGCTAGCTTTCAGTCATCTTGACACTGTTCACAAAAATAAACATTGAGGTAAAAGATTTAGTAAAATTCAAGATAGTTTAGAGTGTGGTTTTGTTAAACAAGGGTCAAACTTTGTTTAAATAACTGGCCCTTAATTTCTATTTTTAAAACAGCGTAAGAACACAGAACTCTGCCGCAACATTCATGAGGAAAGAGAAGTTTGTGTAGAGCTCCAGGTACAGATTAAAATTCTTGAAGCCAAGCAAGAGCCACAGACAGATCCTGATCCTCAGGAAGAGAACACAGAACGCAGGTACTCTACCCTTTAACTCCCACAAGTGATTAACATGTAACTTCTCCCCATGATAATCATACTTTATCCTGTATACAGGTAATGAGAATATTCAAACTTATCAGGTAGAAGTTGTTATCATGATCTAACATCAAATTCTGGCAACAAACCTACTAGAAAATGTGTTGCAGCTAGAGTTGAGGATTAACAACCAAGATCTTGGAAATTAAAGATTGTTTCACCATCAATTGGTCAGAACTGAGGATTGTGATGGTTCATTCAATAATTCCTGGTCCTTTGTATGTGCAATTCATTTTTGTTTTTTCATCACCAATTCTATGACTTAAATGTGGCATGTAAATTCCATTAATATCCATCACTAGGAAACGGAACTTAAAATCGCATTTTCTTTTTGACCTTGCATTTTGAGGGACAAAATTGTTTTGTCTAAGAATTCTGACTATTTGTTTGTAAGTACAACACATGAATATCACACTGCTTTGAAACGATACGTTAAGCTAAGAAAATAGCTGACCAACAATAGCTACATCACTTTTGAGTTACAAACCATTCATTTTCTCCTTGAAAAGACATATCATGTGAAACTGTAACTGGATTGTTTATTGTTTTGCAGCTCAATCAACACTTCCAGCACTACAGTAACTACTGTTTGATATTAAAGAATGTGCAGTACTTGATCTGTTAATGGATTGGCTGGATGGCTTTGAATGTATGATGGATGATGACAAGCAATTTAGAGGCACACCATGATGTACCACAGACACTCCATGATGCACCACAGACCAATTTAATTGTGCAGAAAATGTGTAAAAATTACATTAACAAGTTCCTTGCTTTTCTGATGTTTATTTTTATTAATGAAATTTTTGTTTGCAGTGTAAACTCTACTAAGTTTGTGGTATACAAAGTTGCATTAATTTTTTTAGTACTTACAGTCGCTACATAGTTATAACAAACCATAACAGTTCTGTTTGCATTAATCTTTCACTCCCAAGACTGATGAATGATACCTGTGATTTGTGTTGTCTTGATATGGGACAAAACAAATTTTCAGGACTCGCAAACCAGAAGAAATATCATAGGGCATTGCAATCAGCAATTAACTACTGGTACCAAGAAATCACATCTTGAGAGTGAAAAGGAAGATATCCTTGGTTTTCTCTTGACTACAAAAATACTTTGAAGTTTTCTTTCCTTATTGTAACTTGGGTGCATCATTTAAATTTATCTATTATAATTATCTGCACTTCAGCCATCTTTTGTACTGAAATCTTCCAGTCACTTTCTTGGCTGTAATTAGCAAGAAACTATTTCTCTCAAATTCTAATTTTGTTGTTCAAGAACGGTGTAGATTTCTCTCTGAACTGTTTAAAAACATTTCTTGCTGGAGTTTTATAAAAATCAATTATAGAAAAATGGAATTAGCCCTTAGGGCTTTTAAGCCCTAAGGGCTAAGGCCTAAAAGCCTTTTAAGCCCTAAGGCCTAAAATTTTTTAAAAATTTTGTTAACATGGGGCAAAGCTCTACTATTGTGACTCTCAATGATAAAAGTAAGTTAAGTGAATCGGCAAGTGAGAAGCTAGTAATAATATTGTAATAATATTATTGTAATAATATCATTACAATAATACACCCAATAATTGTATTTAAAGGAGATTATTAGATGTATTAAATACAAAATTTGTTAAATAAAGTTATCATTGTAACCTATTACTATGTGCCTCTGTTTTTTTTTTTTTAATCCATGCATTTAAGACATCAGGAGATATATTCCTGTTATCAGTAGTAACAAATGACAAATTCAATTGACCTGGGCCAGGTTGTTCAAAGCTGAGGATAAGGTAACCCAAGGTTAGAGTGAAATTTGATTTCATATCTGAAAGCTTTTAATGAAAATTCAATTTTTATTCTTTTGTCTACAATTTGATAATTGGATTTTCTGAAAAGAATAGAGAAAATTTTCCCCAAAAGGCTTTTGAACAGAGAAATAATGAAAGCTGGATTCACATTTAACCCTAGGTTAGTGCTAATCGGCCTTCGAACAACTGGGCCCTGATCTTTTCTCAAATGCTCAGAGATGATTCATTGTACTTACATCAACTAGATTATGCGTGATATGTAAATGAAAATATGTGCAATTTTCTTTTCCTGAGCTTGGAATTAATGAAGTCAAGGAAAGGTCTTTGGTCACATTGATTTGTTCCAATAAAGGCAGATTCAATGTTGCAGAAAATTTTGGTGAATCACTATGATCCCTTGAAACACCAGCCAAAAGATTTGCAACCACAGTGCAGCTACCTTTATCAATTACACATGGTTAGTATAACTTCTCAGGTGATTATAGAGATGTGCACCCTCTGATTTGTCAAGGATTGTACCTGGCGATAATCACAAGGTGGTTCTAGCCAGAACACTAACTTTTAAAATGGCTGCCTTGTGTTTTGTCAATGTTACCAAGGAAGTGATAAACATAATAAGAAAAAATTCAATTCCAAATAGTACAAATGATTCTACTGAGGTTCACGTAAAGTTGATATCTTTCAAAGAAAGATATCAAAAGAAAGATAACTTTTTTGCTGACTGAATTAAATAACCCTGTTAAATTTAGTGAAAACTGGGTACCAGTATCTCAGTATCTGGGTTACCAGTATCTCAAAACAATAGTAACAGAATGGTTTCAACATCAAAATGAATTTACAACAGAATTTGAAATCACCTGAGCGATTATACTATTAACAATTACTCACCTTCAGTAAATAATTGTTTAAAAACCAACTGGTCTCTCACTTGTCCACCCATGCATCACATCAGTTTCTTAGGAATTAAATTAAAAACCCTCCCTTAACTCCATTCTATGAATGAATAAATTTAACATCTCTCCCTTTACTGGATGACCAGGCTTAATACAACAATAATTCCTCCTCCTTTTTCATGATGCAAATTTTGCAACATGGAGCAAATCTAATAAAATATCTCACTTCCCAAACTGGAATTTTAACATAAAAAACACGTCCTACTCTTAGCAGTCGTTCAGTGACAGGCAGATTTTGTGAGAAATAAACAGCCAATTGCTTATTAATACTCTTGTTAATTATTTATCATAAATAAATGTTCCCACTAGTAAGTCACAGCATATCCTTGGGCTCAAAAATGAATCACTTGCTTCTGAAATTATGTCATGAGGCACTTTCAGTGATCCTTGTAAAAAAACACAATAGAGGTTTTGCATGGCAACCATGTTGCTTGGCAGGAACAATGAAAATATTTTGCATAAGAAAGAAAATTTTTTCCCATGAGAAAAATAATCTATTGTTCCTGCCATGCAACATGGCTGCCATATTGCACGGCTGCCATGCAACATGGCTGCCATATTGCATGGCAGCCATGCAAAACCTCTATTAGGCCTGCTACCTCTCACTAACTGACACCAGATCAACTGAAGATGAAAACCCATTCAGGGCATCAAGGGATTTCCCAGCTATCTTGGTGGCCTCAACTCCCTGAGCTAAGGCATCCTCCCATGATGCATTTGGTGTGGTTGCTGTGGGAGCTGTAAACAAAAATAACAAAGTGATGAACAAGGCATGTATGGGTATTTTCTGGTGAAATATACCCTCTCCTTTGGGACAGCAGTACTGGCCACTAATGTGTACTTTGTTTCATAAGGATTCAAACAACGTTAACAAAAACTTTGTAAAAAACTCAGTTAAAGCCACCACCATTGAGCATTAATCAGCTGATCCAAACTCTCTAGTGTCTGACACTGTTTTTCATTTGATTTGGCAGTCCAAATTGATGGGTTGGTCTAAGTAACTGTGTGGTTTATTAGTCAATGAAATATCATAAAATTACGATTAATAACAGCTGTAAAGCAGGTGTAAATAAATTCCACCGAAACAAAAAATATACCACTTACAAGTGAATGGACTGGATCCCCCAAGAGATCGAGCTTTTACTTTCTCTAAGAAGGCATCAAAGTCTTCAACATCAAGCTCAGTGCTAAAAACACATAGGGAAAGAAGCAAAAACTAAATGTTATTTAGTCCAGACTTGAAAGGAAAAAAAAAATCAGAGAAAAGGGCTTGCTGCCAAGTGGCACAAGTATTTGTCTGCCCCCAGGATCATTGAGTAACTCTAACCAGCAAGAGGTCTGCCCCCAGGAACATTGAGCAACACAAACCAGCAAGAAGTCTGCACCCTGGAACATTGAGGAACTCAAACCAGAGAGAAGTCTGCACCCTAGAACATTGAGCAACACAAACCAGCATGAGCTCCGCACCTGGAACATTACTTGAGCAACATAAACCAGCAAGAGGTCTACTAAAGGTCCAGCTGCCAGATCCCCAGGAAACCTGTTCCTGACATAGTAATTATCTTAACTCTTCCCATAGGGGGAGAATTAACAAATCAACAGGGGTTTAGTGTGGACTGGACTCTTATCGACAATGATATTGGTCAACACAGTGGTCAAAATGTTGTGGATTCACAAGGTACAGCCAAGTGAGTCCACACTTACCCAGTTTAGACCCAAAACAACCACACCTTGTAGAACAGCACAAACATGTTCAGGCGAAATAAGGAAGTGGCCTTTCTTGCCAATGAATATCGCATACCTATCTACACTAAATCCATCATCTGAAAGCCAAGAAGACAATGATGAATCTTCTAAGAAACCTCTCCGCACTCTTTTATCCTTTTCTTTTGATGCTTTATTTTCCTGGACAATTAAAAATTATTAACAAACATGTTGAATATAACCCTGGCAGACCCAGAAGTAAATAATTAGGCAAGAGGATGCCAAAAGCACCTTCGCTATTTTCCCTTTATCTACTACTAGCCACTGGGTGTCCTTGGATGATTGCAGATTTATATTACTGTTAAAAGTTCCAATTACCCCTCTAAATTTCAGAAAAATTTTTCATAAACACAACTATTAAGCAGAGAAATCTTGTCTGTGATGATGGTTTGTGAGGGAGAATGTTTTTGGAGATAATTTCCCTTAAACCTTTCAGATATTTCTTAGCTTCTCATCTATAACAAGATCATCCTTCGCATTCTTTCTGGTTCAAAAACTGGCATATCAGGTTTTAAATGAGAACACAAGTTGAGACAGAAAATGACTGATAGGAAAAAACTTTGAGGTAAACTTGTAGGAGTAGGTTGAGAGAGTTTGCATTGCTGAAATCACAAAACCTGCTCCTCTTGCAGCCCCCAAAACTCCAAATCCATAGGTAATCATGCACTGTCAAACCACAAGGTCAAAAGAATTTTCTTACCTCCATTTGTCTGGCCTGTTTGGCAACACGAGCTGCTTCTCTTTTAGCCTCATAGTATGCCTTAGAGAACCAATGCATGCATGAATAAGTACACATTCAGATAAAGTCTTTGAAGAATGGACAGGGGGGGGGGGGGTTGAATGTGAGATTTCAACATAAATCACAATTAATAATAATGTTAGAAATGAGAAGCCAGTAAGTTCACCTCCTCTTCCAGCCGTAAATCGTCTTCTCTTCGAGATAACTGTGCATCAATTTCTGCATCTAATTTCTTCTGCTGTTCAACCAGGTCATTGTATCTCTTCTGCGTGATCAGTTCTGTTTCTGTTTCAGTTAAAATCCGTCTGGAAATGAGAAACAGGGAAAACATCACACAGTCACCTCACAGCTCCTGAGGCTCAAAGGGTTTATTAAGAAAATTAAAAGCAGTTTGCAAAACCAAATGTTTGAGATTAATTTTCACTTACCTAGGACGGGGATTGAAGTCCTCCTGAAAGTTAAAAAAATATAATTGGTTATTTCTAGGATATATTTTAGATTCTGTTTATCTACTGAGTTATTTGCAAGATCAACAAATTATTCAACAGAAGTAAAAATTACTTTTTTTTCTTCAGAGTGACTACAAGTCGTTAATAAATTTCTCTCTGTTAAAATATTTCTTCCTCACAGGCATTGACAATTCATAAGAAAATTATACTCTTATTGACAATCATATACAGGACTTAGTTGAGCATTTGTAGGAAAATTCAATAACAACATTTATCGTGGTTATTGTCAATAATTACAAAAAAACACTTGGAAAGCATACCTCATCAATCAAGTTTTCAAACTGAAAAATAAAAAGTAGATTTTCATGATGATCACTATACATTTGGAAGATTTACGGGTTAAATTACTAAGATGCTACAAAAAGTAAACCTCTAGGGCACTGCTGGGAATAGTTGAGATTCAGAAAAGTTCTTTCACAGACAAGGTGTCCTAACAGGGGGGTAGTGGGGTCAAAAGTTAACATTGAAGGCAACACTTCTACAGTAATTTGGTGATTTATGGGGTGAGAAATGGGTTAAGTTTTAAGTGACTTTTAGTGTAACATGAAATTCTTCCTTGTCTTCCAATACAGAAGATAAGAAAATTTGTAAGGAGAAGCTATTGATCTATAACAGGTTACTAAACATGAATTTCTCTTGGCCTTTAAGCAAATTGACTTCAAAGGTTGGAGATGGTCTGGCCTGGAACTCGGTGAAGAAATCAGATGATTGTATGGGGGGGGGGGGATTAGGCAAGAAGGCATCAGAATTGTGGGTGAGACAGTAACAAGAAGTGGGACAGGTGAAAACAGGAAGGGGAATTTTGAGACAATAGTGAATGAGAGAGGAAAGCAAAATTTGGGTTATTTGTTTTTTGTTTATGTGCAAAGTTTAAAAGAAGGGGTGGGAGGTAGGATTCAAAGGTACAGGAGGTGGAACACCCCCCCCCCCATTCCCTTTTGTGTAACAAATATCAGCAGTTCTCCTAGCTTATCTTTGGTGGGATATTGCCTGAGAAGGGGAGGGTGAAAAACATTTTCCTAGTGGATTCCCAAATACAGAGGCTTTTCATTTTTTATTTTTGCCCATAAATTGTACCAGTCCTCTTATACTCCCCGTCCCCACCACACCACACTTGACTCTTGGTTTTTTTCATGTGTTGATATAAAAGTGTTAAGTCAATCAAGTTAGCTCGAAGATTCTGCTGCAAGCGATGAGTCGCACCGGAAATTTGTGCAGTATCAAATTATCTTAGGACCTCCAGTCTTAATCGTAAATAACAAAGGATCTTACCTCGATACTCAACTCCTTTTCACTATATCTTGCACGTCTGTAAGTTCTGCGAATTGAGGATGACACAAATATTTGCAACACTGGCTACAAAAACACAACAACTGCAATTTTACTAAGGCTATATTACGACTTACCTCCCTCTAAGATGTGCCGGCCGGCGCAATTTCCTTAATTCCTCACTGAATACACCCCAGCATCCTCTCATACAGCTGGCCATTTTGAATTCCGGAGTTTCTATTTATATATTGTAGTCATTTTCTGACGATCTCAGCTGTTGTTGTAGCGAAATTTCCATCATATGCGTGGCACATGACTACTGATGACTAAGGGTTACCCACAAGGCCATGCAAGCCATCTTTCGCTATGTTCTATAAATTTACACCAAAAGGGTAAAAAAAGAAAAATAAAACGCATACGTGTGGAGTCAAATGAGAGTTTTTTTTAACAAGTTAAAATTTTGTGAGGAATTTCTTAGAGAGTTTGTGGTTTTGAATGTCTTAACATTAAAAAACACTCTTCCTTCCAGTCAAACCCCTAAGTGATAATTACACAGAATTGTTATTCAAGGCTAAACACGCCTCTGTACAAATATATTGCTGTTCGTATAATTTTTGTAAGGACATTGTATTTCGTCGTATACAACGTATTCTCTTAGAAAGGCTATTTTCCAAGATGGCGTCTTCCACGTGAAATTTCGGTTTCAGTCGAACTTTGGAAGAAATAGAGGGAAAGATGGTCTATTTCGACTCGTGGGATGAATTTGCTGCAGCAGTTGAACAGTTGTGTGTAGCTGAACCGAGAAAGGTTGGGCACGTGAATTAGGAGAAATTATGGCTGACGTGTAAAAACAAAATTATATCTTTCATTTTGTCCTCTTTATTTCAGTTTCGGTTTGTCGTGAAGTATCGCCATTGTGACGGGAAGCTTGTTCTAAAAGGAACAGATGATCAAGTGGTAAAGTTGAAACTATAATTACTATAAATATATAAACAATTTCGACACCTTAAAGTTTCGTTTTTTTTTTTTTTTTTTAAGTGAATGGATGGATTTGGGAAAAATCTGTTTAAAATTTTTTTTTGTTTTGGCCAGAAATAGACACTGATACGGTGGAGTTTATTTCAGATTGTCTTTTTTATTTTTGAAAAGTCAGGAATAAAGCGTAGCAAAGATTATCAGACAATTTGATTCCTCTGTTAATTATCATCTTGTAGTGCCTAAAATACAGAACAGAGCAACAACAGGATATAAAGAAATTAGAAAAACTGAACAGTGTTCTGATGAGACATGCTGCGGCCAAGTGAAACAAGAAGCCAGCCAAGATTCATTCACGAATATTACAGCACAAAATATTTGTGAAGAACTACCGTGGTGTGGATTCGTGGTTAAAGGGCGATGGATCAGTTACTGGCTATATTTATTGTTCCAGTTATTTCTATAATCAAGCAGCACAGGCAATCCTTTGGAACTGCAGTTGTTTGTAATATTAGGTTGTGCATTTAATTTTGTTTCCATGATATTTTTGTAAATTTGCATTAGTGACAAAAATCTACAATTACAATGATTACAGACTAGAACTAAGAAGTTTTTGGAAATTTTTGTTGGACAACTAAGAGACAGTAAATACTGGTATATGAAGACCCCAAAAGCTTGGGCTTCCTTTATGGACCAAAAAATGTAATTTTGTTTGCCTAAACTTCAAGCAGTCCTTCCTTTTCACCAGAGTCCCGTCACACAAGTAAAAAATTTAAGGGAAAACATTGGGTTTCCAGTAGCCGCAAAATCAGCTTTCCTTTCTATGATTTCTTATTACTCACACAACAGACCTCGCCAGAAAGGAGAGACGACTTGTGGCTGATCTCGTAGTGAAATACAGTTGACCTTTTCCCTTAACCAAGACAGGGTTTCACCTTACAACTTCAATACAGTATCAAGCAGACAAGTGATGAGAAAAAAAGAAAAATGTAAAATTAATAAGGATATCATCAGTTGATCCAATACCAAGTTCTCCAAAGTAACATCAAAAAATTGTATGACAGGCAGTACTTAGTTCTTATTAACTGAGCGGGAGGTCTGTATGGGAGAATCTTGACTGAGGTCGCCAGTACAGACCGAATGCAGTGAGGTCTGTACCAGTGACCGAGGTCAAGATTTTCCCATAGGGACCGACCAAGCTCGGTTAATATGATGTTTATTATATGGCTGTGTCTTTTATGCCAATTGTTTATATTTTTTGTACCTCTTTTTTTCTAGATTGGTCTAGGCCGCTTTCAATATTGATTTCAGCCAATCAAATTTGTGAATTCAGTAGTTCCCAGTCCTTGTGAGACACAGCCATATAATAAAAATAATTACTGACAAGATATTAGGAGTGAAAGGGTAGGCTTTGTGGTCCTCATATTTTAGTGTCCTGATGGATTTGGGGAAGTGGTTCATAATGTTAACAGTGACTAAAAAAAATTCAATGAGGAAGGAATTTCAGAGAAAGAATCCAGTCTAGGAACTTCCTCAGAAAGACAATTCTAAGGGGTTTTTTAAGGGAAGGCATGGGGGCTAAGGTTAATCTAGAAAGTAGATATTTCCTGCTAAATTCTTACCTCCTACTTTCCACTTCTCTTTCATTCTGTAAGTTGTTCCCGTTTCAATCCATGCCCTAAGAGAGAAGCTATGCCCTAAGGGAGAAGCTGAGCCCTAAGAGAGAAGCTGTACCCTAAGGAGAAGCTGTGCCCTAAGGGAGAAGCTGTACCCTAAGGGAGAAGCTGTGCCCTAAGGGAGAAGCTGTGCCCTAAGGGAGAAGCTGTGCCCTAAGGGAGAAGCTGTGCCCTATTTGAAGGTGAAAAAGGAATCCATAGTCACAGCAGGAGTAGAAACTGAATGGTTTCATAATCTGAAAGTTTCTTTTATTTAATTTCATTGTTCCCTTAGCTGAGTGTCCACTTAACTTTGTAGACCCTTACACCGAACTTTACTAGAAATCTGTACAGAAGCCATACCTCATTAAAATACTATCATCAGTCCACTCTATAGCCGTAGTGCATACTAAGAAATTGTTTGAAAATTGTTACCCACTGAGGTTTTGGGTTTAAGGGAAAATGGAGAAACTTGTGACACATGCCTAGCTTTCTTAAAGCAACAGGGGTGTAAAATATGAATTTTGGTTCCAATCTGGTTCATCAGGATGAAATCCCAGATGATGTTTCTACTCTCAAGGTAACCTTTAGAATAATAAAGGTAACCTTTAGAATAATATGTTCTGTCAATCCATCATTGTGTGTGAAAATACAAAGACAAGGCAAACCAAAAAAACAAACAGTCAAAAAGTCTTTCATGCATCCTATCACCTTGATGTGGGTGTTACCCCTCCTAGAAAAACAGTCCCATGTCCAAAAATTCTCCACAGCAATTCTTACTTCTTCCACCTATCTTCTCACATTGTGCTTTGGGAATGGTCCCATTAATCTCCTATGCATCCAATCTCAGGGATGTCACGTGTTTCTCACAGCAAGCACAACACCCCAAGGGGAAGCAGTGTGGCCAAGACGTTAGGGTGCTGGACTTGTAATCCACTGTATTGGGTTCAAGTCCTCCACCCTGCCACTCACTAGATTTGATCTTGGTTGCCCCTGGTTCAACTCCTTGGCTGTGCTCTGTAAATAGCTCACTGGTCTGCCTCCTGCCAGTGGGGATTTTCAAGCACCTAGTTAGTCTACATTGTAGCGGAAAATTCCATAAGGGGGAGCTTCAATTAGCGTATTTATTATTATTTTTTTTATTATTTGTCAGAATACTCCTAACGTTAAGTCAGAAGCTTGTAATACATTTACAATATCAACTATTACAAAAATAATTGAAAGCTCTAATACACTTCACTGTTACTGCAATATTCTATTGATACACTTAATACCCTTCCTTCAGTCCTTAAATGATCTAAAATTCCTTTGAAAATATGTGTATGAAGTCATAGTAATGGTAAATGAAAAATTAATAAAATCATAAATGATGTACTCTGATACTAAAACCCCATTAAATTCCATATTGGAGAATGTTCTTTTTTTGTGGTAAAAAAAATACATAACTGTAGTTGAAAAAATAACAAGCAGTTGTATTTTAAATCAGGCCCACTTTAAGAGGTCTGAGTTCAAAATTCAGAGTTGATTTCATTCAAGCAGTCCGAATTGCAGTCAAGGCTCTACAGTGGATGTAAAAGTCATTGATTTTCACATGTGGAATTAAGAGCTAGTTGGAAAGCAAGTGAAAACAATCTTTTCAAATGCTTTTCATATGCCTTTCACCTTGCAATTTTCACCTGTATATGAAATTTTCACATGTAATAAGAACAAAAGCCATATCAAACTTCTATACTGGTAACCATGTCATGATTTTACCTTAATTTACCAGATGCATGTCTATTTGAATTGAAAAGGCACCTCTTCGGATAGAGACCTCCAAACTGGTCCTCTGATTTCTTTAATTACATTATGATATCTATAGATATTCAAATCCACACCATATAAATATTCTAAGCTTTCTAGCTTAGCGTTAATGTAGGCTATAATGTAGGCTATATATTTAGTTCCTTGGTCCAAAAACCCCACACAATAATTATTAGTATATATGTCTATAATATCTTTATCCTTATACTTGTCAATACATTTAAGTGTGCATTAAAAATGTAAAATCAAGGAAACATTTAGAATGTCAACACAGGTAATTTTCAGTTTAAACAGACTAGTTCGTTAACTACTTTCTTATGAACCAGCCAAAAGTTTTATGAACACTTTTCTGTCTACCTGAAGACTATGCCTGAAAACATTGAAAATGTTTCTCATGATAACATTTTGACTAACACATCAATTACTAAAAATTTTCACTTTAAGCCAATGATTCATTTATTATCTAGCAGGTCTCAGCCAGTTTGGAAGAGGTCTCTCTAACTTCTGTAACAAATCTGCAAGACGTTTGTTTGGCTTTGAGTAATAATCTTCCAAGAATCTCTGTGACTTTCTATCCATGGGTACATAATGTCTGCCCTTTCCTTTTCCAAGACAATGAGTACCACCTTGTGATGTGACTTGACAGTAAAATCCTTTATGCTTATCAAATCTAAGGATCAGAGAAGAGAGATGGACAATGAAACAAAAGAAAGAAATTTTAATGTCTATTTCCACCTACATGTGAGAGGAGCAAAACTTTAAAGCCCCCTATCACCTCCCCCCTTCCCACACATGCACCACCTCCCCCCTTCTCACATGCACGCACCCATGCACGCAAACACACATGCACCCAAACACACATGCACGCACACACGCACACACACACACGCTCGCACACACACACAGTCCTATTCATCCATAGCAAGGTTACCCCCCTGTATTTCATCAAGCTTTCCCTGACAACTTGCCTGTACCTATCTATACTTATGGGAGGAGAGAGTCACCATGAAAGCAAAGTGTTTTGCCCAAGACATACACCTTGACCCAGCCAGGTCTCTACCAAAACCTCTCAACCTGGAATCTAATGCACAAACCATTGACTGGTAAAACACTGGCTGTCTCTTGCAGAGAACTGAACATAAAGATATTGGCAGAGTCATAAAGGCCACAGAAGCCTATAAATTCCAGCCCTTATTCTAGTTTTCTGGGCAACAACAATGCAATCATCCAGCCAGCCTGGGTACCTCATCAGGGCCCTGCTTTGCTGACCACCCACACCTGGTTGTTCAAAGAATGGATCATGCTATTCAACAGATAAATCGCTATCCAGCAGATAAGTGTTACCAAAACGTATCCACCCTTCAAACAACTGGGGCCTGGTCATGCTAAGTCCCCCAGTTAAAAACAATTGTTAAAACTAATATATAGATTTAGCCAAGCCTAAAAGTGGAGCTCCCAAGTTCATAATATTAATGATGACATAAAAGATGTGCATTTGCCAAGACTCACCTGAGACACCCCTCCCTTCCTTTTGATAGTCTCCCCTACCCTACCCATGCAATCTGAAGGCACATACGTACGTACACTCAGTCAGTCACAACCAAACAAAAAGAGGTTGACCATATTCCATGGGTATGGGGCTCTGCCCCACAAAGCGCACGTGGGAGCCCTGCTATAAGAAGCAACATACTTTTTGAATTTTATGATTCATTACCACTTAACTTACCTTAACCTCTTATTATAGTCATAAATGTTGACACCAAGAAATTTCTGCACTTCCATCATCACTTGGGGAGGATCTGTCCTAAGTTTATCCCCATCGAGAATAAGAATCTGAACAGTGCAGAAACAGAACAACTCTATTAACCCTCTACACCCTGACATCAGTATGCATATTCTCCATACTGTTCTCTATACATTTCCTAAGGTGCTGACAAGGAGAATTTGTTTAACAATCATGAGCTTCGTAAGCTCGTGATTATTTCCTTATTCTCGTGACCTTAATGTGTGATTCAGTGGGGATCATGGAAGGAGAAATTAGATGCTAGTCACCCTCAAAGGTTAAAGGGTAAAAAGTTACTGATATGGAAACCAGCTGGCAAAGTTGTATGATCAACTTCATTCACGTATGGTCTTCATATACTTTTATAACATAACCAAAGTAAAGTGCACGCTCTGATTGGTCAATTCAGTAAAGCACGTGCTCTGATTGGTAAATTTAGCATCCACCATTTGCCCATGGGTGTACGCTGCTGACATGAGCAAATGCAAAGACTAGTTTCCCACGCGTGCTAATTAATTTTATTTGGTTACGTAAGATTTGTTAATTAAAAGAAACCTCTTTGGCTACAATGTATCAATGTTATGTAATAGAAGTGGAAAACGCCACAGCGAACACTATCACATTATGGATGCACTTGGAAGGTTTGCTAAGTCCTCAAGAAGCTAAAGTCGCTCTCGGCTATCGCCTTGTGTGACTCTTATACTTCTTTTGTGCTTAGCAACCTCCTGCATGCATCCATAACTCAATAGTGTATGCTATACACCGAATGCAAATATGGCGCCCAATTTGAGTTGCCATTGTTCTGGACTCATTAGCCTTCACACACGTAAATTATAATCCTTTTGTATTTCCATGCAAAGATGAGGCTAGTGAGTCCAGAACAATGGCAACTCAAATTGGACACCATATTTGCATTCAGTGTATGGTGTTTACCATTTTGTTAAGGAAAGTAGCAATATTCCATAAATTGATGACAGGAAGAAAAACACAAGCTAAAATGTTGAAATACAGAGCATGCAGCAACATGTCCGTCCAGTAGGCATAACTGTCCATTTGTTAAGGAAAGTAGCAATATGCCATAAATTGATGACAGGAAGAAAAACACAAGCTAAAATGTTGAAATACAGAGCATGCAGCAACATGTCTGTCCAGCAGGCGTTACTTCTATAGAGAGGACATGTACTACTGAGGTGTGAACTTACTTGTGAGGGTGAAAAGTATGTCAGCCACCTTTTCAAGTGTTGAGCATACAGGCCTGGTAAAAGACATCTTAGACCAAGAGCTCTGATGCCTTTGTCCTCAGAAGAATTAACACTTGTTATAACCTTATAGAATGGGTGCATAGCGGCTGCCACACCATGGCTTCTCATGTGCTAAAGAGATGTGAAACAATGCAGGCAAAAATTAGCAATTTGTCATTATTTAAAAATCCTACATTGTAATCTACAAATTGACTTGGGTCCAAAGCAAACACAAATGACAAAAATTTTTCAGGATGTTCATTGCTGGTTTGCAGTGATTAAATTGATCAGTTTTGTACACAACTGTGACCTCTGTCGTTGAAGATGGAACAGTAGTTACTTACAGTTACCAGGTGCAGTAAATGGCTTGAACCGGGGGGTAACATGTGAAGGTGTAGTCTGATCGTACGGGTGAGCGTAGTCCTGAGAAGGACTGTTGTCAGTGGTAGTGACTGACGTTTCGACAACCTGTGCAGAAGTCATCATCAGAGTAAAGTGAATGATTGTTGTCAGTAGAATGTTCTTATTCCAGTTTGCGTAAAATGATTGGTTGATTTTGCCGTGATGTTATTGGCAGTAGGACTCAAGTGATGTGAGTCGGTCCTGATTGGTCTGTTTTGATCTGTCGGTAACACTACCGACTTACATCACTTGAGTCTTACAGCCAATAACATTATGGCAAAACCAACCGATCATTTTACACAAACTGGGATAAGAACGTTCTACTGACAGCAATCATTCACTTGACTCTGATGATGACTTCCGCACAGGTTGTCGAAACGTCAGTCACTACCACCGACAACAGTCCTTCTCAGGACTACACTCACCCGGACGATCAGACTACAACTTCACAAGATACCAGGATGCACATTTACCGGTAACCCTTAATCTCTAAAGAACAAATTATCAACTCCCCCCTCTAGCTGCTACACATTTCTTTGTAAACCACTTAAAGAATTTGGCTTTAGATCAAGATAACAACTTCTGCCTGACAAGTTTGAGTATTCTTATCATTTGTTTGCTGGATAATATAATGTATGTGGAGAAGTTTGACATAAATGTTAATCACTTCTGGGAGTTGAAAGATTAAGATACATGTATATCACTCACTTGGTACCATGAGTAGGCTCTTTTTGTTGGATCTATGAAAATTGTGATGATTTTGGCCTCTGGGAGCAATGAATGTACTCTCAGTGGCCCCTTGGCAGCATCAAAATAATTAGCACTCTTTTCAAACAAGATCTGGTTACTGTGGTTGCTAATATCAGGGAAGAAATCCATGTACCTATCACAAGAAGCAGCATTGCAAGTTTGCATACAAATGTCTATTGATGTGCTGGCCTTGAGGCACATTTATAACTATTAATGATGATGATGATGATGATGACGTCTATAATAGTGATGACGATGACCAGGGTTCAAGTTCAACATTAATGAAAGTTCCCATTCCCCAGAGATAAAATAATGTTTGCCAGAAAATACAACACTGTGAAACACTTCTTGAGGTGATGCCTGTGGCATCTAAATCAAAGGCTAACATGGTTGAAAATCTCACTTTTTGCCAAAAAATCAACTTGAGAGCTCTTAAGTCATGACCAAGCTTTTTGATGAGGTAATGGTAGAGCATTGGACTGCAAAACCTTCAAGGCAGGAGGTTTGACTCCTCTTGGTGAAACTTGGATCTTTAGCTGTCCAGACTCTGTGACGTACCAAAATGAACAGGCTCCATATTTCCCATTCCCCTAAGTTCACGACTTTGTACGATTCAATTCTGCACTTACCAATCTAAGCCTCTGATGTAATTGTTTCCACCAAAGAACTGTACCTCCTCATACGTGCTATCACTTTGCACATTACTGATGATGTCTGGATGCATTTTGAGGAACGTATACAGAGCTGTGGTGCCAGTCTTATGAGGGCCAACAACAAGAAGGGATGGCAGCTTTTTACAATTCTTTTCTGGTGACCAGATTTCCATGTGCCGTGGGTCTAAACAAGGATTCTGTCAATTGAGAATTAATGTTGAAAATTGCAGTGAACATTGTGCAAAAGAGAAGTTATGCAAGTTGCATGATGTACATGTCAGGCTTAGAAAACAGTCAGGGAAGGGAATGGTAGCCAAAATAGTAAAAATCATATGAAATAACAGTAAGATTCATTTTAGACATAAAAGAGTTACAAAATTAATATGCCCAAGAAATTATTTTGAAAGATTCCACACCACAGAAGAGAATGTTGTTGCTTTTTGACTCAGTACAGACCAAAGTATTTCATAAAAAAAAACCTTGGATGTCGCACTTCTCGCTAATGACTCCCTTGAGCTGAGAGGTTTAAGCCAACTGTAAAATCCTAGAGGTTTTACCCTCCACTTTCTAGAAAGAACCATCTTCCTTTGACATTATTTCACTTTACTTTTTAAGTTCATAAGTACACTCTGACAACACGCTAAGAAAACTTGACTGTCCAGTGGTCTACAGGTTTCACTCTACATTCACTTTGTTACTAAACGTCTTTTCTAGTCAGCATTAAGGTGAAGTACCTGCCAAACTGGTTCCATCTCCTCGGGAAACATTGCAAAGTACCTCTCAGCCAAATCAACTGGATGCTCTGAAATTAACTTAAGGTTGGTCCAGCATTGCAAATGCTTCACTAGGCTGTAAAACACAAGTAAAGCTAGGCGATCGTTGCCATAGTTTGAAAGATGAGTCATAAAGATGGAAATCTGAGGAAAAAAATATGATCTGAGAAGCTATGTAATTATCAACCCCAATATATATATCTTATTAACCAAGCGCGAGGGCCGTACTGGGAGAATATCGGCCTAAGGTCTTGACAGTACAGACCAAGCGCAGAGAGGTCCGTACAAAAAAGACCGAGGGCCGATATTCTTCCAGTACGGTCCCGAGCAAGCTTGGGACAGTGCCCGGTCCAATACTGAGAGAATATTGACCGGCAATAGAGCATTTTGATTGGTTGATTTTAGTTATTGGCCCTCTGACTGCCTGAGTCGTGTAATAAATGTGTTATTGACGAAGTGTGAGGTCAAGATGGTTGGATATTGGCCGATTTTTCCCTTCATATTTTTATGGACCAAGATAAAATCTACACCCATAAAAAAGCAGGAAGGATTGGGGCTAATATCCAGCCATTGTGACTGAACATGGATTTAATATAATTAGAGAAACAAGATTTTGCATTCAATGAAACAAAACCCCTTCCATGCCTTCTTTCTTCTTGTTGCATGTCAATACACTAATGAAACTAGATTGTAGATCTTAGATTAGAATAATCAATTTACAGTTGATAGAAGCCTCTCCAGTACTTTCTCTTTTTTAAGTTTTATTGTCAGTAAATTTTATTAGTTTTCCCAACTGCAATTAGCTTGCACCTGTACTGATAAATATATTTGACACTGGAATTATAAACGTATTATCCTTTTTGTTGATCAAAGTTTATGTTTTCTTTATTTTTGAATGCCTCCCGCCTTTTTTGCAACATTTTCCAAAAATAATGAACTTTGCCAGGCATGTGCAGATGTCCATTACGCCTTTTAATTAGTAATTCTCCTTACTTTCTGCCATACAACTGTTGTGATGTAAATGTGGAGAAATTGGTATTGGATCAACTAATATTTGATCCTCTGAATTACATTTTTCTGTATTCTCATCACTTGCCTGCTTGACTTTGGATCCATGATGAGGGGGTTAAGGGTTAAATGGTTATACTTACAGGCTGATCAACTACAACTTGGAACAGTTGACCCCCATGAATGCTGTCTTTCAACCACTGCCGCCCTCTGGGGAATTCTTTCAGGAACACTGTGTGGGTGTAAAGACCACATGTTTGCCGCGGGAGAACCTAGTATGAACACCACAGTTTACAATCATAATCTATCTTAAAAAAAGAAAAAAACAAAACAAAACAAAGAAACCAACTTGAAACAAATTAAGCTTAGATCAGTAGCACGCTTGTCACGCGCAAATGGAAAAATCACGGATTTGCTCGAATCTTTTAAGAATTTCTCGGCGCACAATGATCGGACCTGCTTGAGACTTTCCAAAATAGTTACACATATGTTAAAGATGATTTTGGACTAAACAGAGGTAGAATAAAGGTTTTTTGAAAAAATTGAATCGGAGCCGAATTGTAAAGTTAGCGACAAAAACATGGCGTCACGCGTAACTCGCGTGGGCTTCACTATTCACTGTTTTTCTGTTTTTGCCAGCGTAAGTTTCGTCTATAGCCGTAAAACTTAACAGGTGATGAAAATGGTTCCCTTTTAAGCGAAGTGGCAAACAAAATCCTGACAATTGGGGCTAAATCTTTGTTAAAATCAACAAAAGTGTTCAACATATAATGCATCACGCTTAAAGCTTGGTAGAGACAGATCATTTTCAATTCATTGTGCGAGTCATAATTCCCGAGTGACAGAACAATTTAACCTCAAAATGTAATGCTCATAAGTTGCTTTTCGCTCTCCTTCCGTTTTTTGTGTTTTTATTGAAGCGTTGTCGAGATATGAATTTTTTTCTGCGTTCTAAACAGTTGGCAAGCGGTGTGATCTGCCGCGCGATAATTCTGGTCATTGANGAAATTTTTTTCAGGTCTGATTTTCACTATTGCTCAAATAGTGCTTTACTGCGAAGGATCGTGCACATATACGTTTCATAACCGCAGTTCATACATATGTTTCATATGTTTGTTGTTGTTTGATTTATCATCTACGGGTTTATGTCGAATTAATTTGATGGCCTGCTCCCAGTTGGCTTGTTAGCTCAATTGGTAGAGCGCTGCACTAGTATCGCAGAGGTCAGTGGTTCGAATCCCGTACAGGCCTGAAATTTTTTTCAGGTCTGATTTTCACTATTGCTCAAATAGTGCTTTACTGCGAAGGATCGTGCACATATACGTTTCATAACCGCAGTTCATACATATGTTTCATATGTTTGTTGTTGTTTGATTTATCATCTACGGGTTTATGTCGAATTAATTTGATGGCCTGCTCCCAGTTGGCTTGTTAGCTCAATTGGTAGAGCGCTGCATTAGTATCGCAGAGGTCAGTGGTTTGAATCCCGTACAGGCCTGAAATTTTTTTTCAGGTCTGATTTTCACTATTGCTCAAATAGTGCTTTACTGCGAAGGATCGTGCATATATACGTTAAAGATATCTATCATATCTCTTTTAGAGACCAAAACAAACTTTTGAATTTAGAGGTCCATATAGTAAAATTGGACCTGATAAATTGAAAAAAACAAAGCACATGTTCCAACCCAGAAATATGATAATTTATTAATATATTTCTAAGTTGGTATATGTGCTACAATTATAAAAATGCCTAACATGTATACATTCAAGTTATTTGGAAGTATTGTAAAAATTTTAAAACTGAATACCCTAAAATAAAGACACACCTTAACATTTTTGTATATGAATCCTTTGCGGAACCTGGCAGGATAGATATGAGGGTACTCTTCAGTTGATGTCACTTTTAAGTTGTTAACTTTCTTCCAACCTTCATAAAGAAGATCATGTGGGGGGTATACTCCAGAATGGTGAGGTGCCACTGCGTAACTGGTGTTAACTGGAATATTGTGCTCCTGTATTTTCCAAAGAAACATGCAATATTCATGTTTACTTTATACAGTAAATGGTTTGAACCCTGGAGTAACATGTGAAAGTGTAGTGTGATCATCTGGATTAGTGTAGTCATGAGAAGGACTTCTGTCAGTGGTGATGACTGACGTTTTGGCAACCTATGCAGAAGTCATCATCAGAGTCAAATGGCACTTGTCTCTGATGACGACTTATGTCACCACCACCTACAACAGTCCAACTCAGGACTACACTCACCCGTATGATTCCACAACACTTTCTCATGTTAACTTTATTCTCCATTTATGGGTAATGTGCTAATCTAATGATCTAAATCAGTGATGTCAATAAGGGCTGGTTGCAGGACAAAACCACTGGCTAGTTTACAATTTCAACCTCAAGTTTTCATTGGTGATAATATTGAAACACTAAAACCATTCCCCAGTTTTCGGCAGAGCCAAATGGAAGCTACTGTTTCATGGCTGTCATTAAATAAAAGGTTAATCATATTCTATTTTAAATGTCTTTTGCAGCAATATGCTTGCCTCCTTCACTCAATTTTTTTCTTACCTTTGCAAAGTCAAGATTTTTCTTCAAATCATCAATAATCCAACCCAAATCGTTGCTCTTGTGTGGTTGACGATGAAGCCATGTGTGACTAAACCACCAAAACTTGTCTGCATTCTTGATCAGTTCCCAATCTCCTTCATCTTCTTCATCATTCCCAGACAAAAACATTCCCCCACAATATCCCAGGTTGAAGTGAAAGCCTGGTACACGCTCTTGTAGTTTAGCTTGGACAGAGATCATTGCCTATAAGCATAACAGTGAATGCAATGTTCAGAGGACTTTGCCCTTTCATCAGCATGCATATTCTCCCTACTGTTCTCTACATAATTCCTAACATGCTAACAAGGAGAATTTGTTAAACAATCAAGAGCATTTTTTTAAGTTGATGATCACTTCCTTTATTATCATCTCCTCAAAGTAACACTTTAACTCCCAGAAGTGATTAACCAGTAACTTCTCCCTACATTATCAATACATTATCCAGCAAACAGGTAATGAGAATACTCAAACTTATCAGGTAGAAGTTGTTACCTTGATTGAACACCAAATTCTCACAACCAATTTGTACAGGTAATCACATGATTTCAAGTTCAATTTGGAATAAATAAGCCCGAGTAAATTTTTTCAAAGACTAACAAAATTGCATGAGCCCGTAGGGCGAGTGCAATTTGTGGTCTTTGAAAAAATTTACAAGTGCTTATTTATTCCAAATTGCACGAGAAAATCATGTGATTATGTATTAATAATATACATGAAAAAATACGAGGTAGCTTCTCATAATTACGCAGAAGAAAAGCGCGGGCATCACGTGCAAAAATAATTTATTTTGACCTTGACATTGACATTGACCAATCATTCTGACCAATCAGAATGTCTGGTTTGTTTCTTTCTTTGCACTGAGGTAACCCTCTTCAGCACTGAATTAACTCTTTTCTGCACTGAATTAACTGAAAACTGCATTCATCTTAACCAATCAGAACTGAGAAATTTTTAATGTATATTATTAACAACGAAACGTGTAGCAGCTAGAGGGGAGAATTAACAATCAGATCTTGGGAGTTAAAGGGTCAAGTTTTGATATTGAGAGGAGATAATCAATGCTTGGCATGATCTCAGAAGTCAAAGGGTGACCTGTTAGGGAGGGGGGGGAGGGGGAATCAGGCAGGCCAATGATACTGATGACATTCTAGATCCAACATAGTAAACTCATGCTGCAGAAAACTCCCTTACACACTTGAACATATCTAGCAACATTTAAACCTCTGAATTTTTCCCTTTTAAAGGGTTAACCCTTTAACACCCAGGAGTGACCAAGACAGAATTTCTCCTTACAATATCATTACAATATCAAGCGGACAAGTCATGAGAATAATAAAAGATATCAATAAGTAGATTATTAGTTGATCCAATAACAAATTCTCTGAACCAACATCAAAAGAATTGAATGGAAGACAGTAAGACAAATTGCTAATGAGATAATGGGAAACTGAAAGGGCTCATCTAAATAAAATGTTTTCAAAAATGTGTGTTCTTAAGCTGTTTTTAATATTCCCCAAAACAAGTGTCAGTGAGTTATTTCCCCCTTTTGCAGTTACTTTTGTGGCTTTTGTCACCAATCATACCATCTCTTGTGTGAGAGGGAAAAAGAAAGCTAAAACTCCATCAAATTTGTAGAAACTCATTCATGATATTGTCAAGAGAAACAAGACAATATTTTTATCATAAATTAAGGCAAATATTAAGATAACACAGCACCATGGTCTAGCAGCGCCCAGTTGCTCCTGGTGCCTTACTTTTGCTCTTGGGTGACTCAGGAATCTTAGTTTTTTTTCATAAAAAAGATATGCTGGGCACCCTGGATTTCACAGTTTCTAAACACTAGGCTTCCCTCAATTTTTCTTAGGGCACAGCCTTGTAACATAATTTTGCTGTATTATCCTAAGCAAAGAGGTGCTTTGACTTCTTTTGGACCCAAAGGTCCAGGATCAAACCCTAGCATAATTGACTCATGTTCTTGGGTCCCTACATCTCTTTTCTCTACACATTTTCTTTTGGTATTGAAAGGAGAATTTGTTTGACAATAGAAGATTCTTAGGTTAGTGATCATTTACTTTATTCTTATGATCTTGATGAAAGACTCAATAGTATTCTTGTAAGGAGAAATTAGATGGTGGTCACTCTTGGGGTTCAAGGTTAATAGGAGGAGTATTATTGAGTGCTGGCAACCTGTCTGGAAAACTTTGTGAAATGTGCATATGAAAAACTCTGTAACCTTGTCAACCAATTCACTCCCAAGATCGCAACAGCAGGGCTGTACCTAGCATGAGGCAAGAAGAGGCAATTGCCTCGTCTTGATTTTGGCCTTTTCCTTTTTTTTCTGCACCAGTATCGCTCGGCAATAAAAAAGTGAACTTCCACACTTGCCCAAGATTGACATTTCTAAAGAAAAGTGCCACGGAAAATGCTTGAAAGAGCATTTCTGAGCCTCTAGATTTCAAAATTTTCTGGGGGAGGCATGACAGACCCGAAACTTGCCTTGTCTTGTTCTGAAGTCTGGCTATGGCCCTGAACAGAAATTTCCCTTTCTATCCGTAATACAATTCTTATGGTGTGAGTTCAGAGAATTTGGCATGCAAACAACTAATAATTGCCATGTTGATTTTTTTTCTTAACTCTAATTACTTGTCTGCTTGTTATTGCATCGATATTGTAAGGAGAAATTCTGTCTTGGTCATCCATGAGAGTAAAATGGTTAAGGACAGGGTCATGGGTAATCTAGCTCATAAACTAACTTTATCTTAAAAATAATTCTTCATTGGAAATGCTAATCTGTAATCCAACTATAATGCAAGCAACTTATTCAAAATGCTCATTCATTGATCAACTAAAGTGCCACTCCACATACGTGTACGTTAAAACAGCTGGAGAGTATCAACAAAAGATCCTTCTCAATCCAATAGGCAACAATCAATATTAACTCAACTGTTATGTGATGACATTGACGTGCTTTCCACCGCATCAAAAATTACTTTGGAAACGCGAACAAAGGATGCGCTCCACAGCATCTTTCGCTTTAAATTTAAAAGCCAAGCCACAAGAATAAAGACAAAGTTTTAGAGAATAACTTACCCTCACGTCCTCTTTTTTCATTCGAATGCCCACTTTTCCAACAAAAATATCATCAATGTCCACGACGATTCTTCGTTCCAAAGAGCGAGCCAAATATCCTCTTGAGACGAACGCCAGGGCATCAACAAACAATAACTTATGAAGCCAAAAAGACAATCCATTCCCAAAGTAAACTCGTCGAATACCATCCAAATGCCCTAAGTCTGTTAAAACTGTTGCGAATTGCGTCGATGAAACTCCTTCTTTTAAGACCAGATCTTCAAATTTCACATCATGAGAGCTGGTTTGTTTATTCGTGTTTAAGGTTGCGTAAGCAGTTTCCTTTGTAGCAAACTCAACCGCTTCGTAAGTGCTGTGATTCGGAAAGAATACACTCCATTTTGACTCTGGAGGTTCTTCAATAATTCCACCAGCTTTAGTAAGGCGAAGTAAACATGCCGAAGGATTCAATTCTACATTTCGAAGATTGCTTAATCCAGTCTTAATGCCTAAGCGAAATTCCTCGTAAGTACGCGTAACGGGCTCTTGCTCTTCCTGAACGGTAAATAAAATAATTCCGATGGCAAATTTACGACAGTAATGGTCAAGAAAGTGTCTGTTTGCTTTATCTAATGTTGCGTAAAATTTGATACTCTCGAAAATCACTGCAGAAAAGCGTCCGATTTTTCCGTGAGCAAGCTTCGGAAAGACTGTCTTGTTACCAATTTCGAGGTAAACAAGTTCGAAAGAAATTCGACTTTCCTCCAAGACACGAGAGATATCTGACCGAAAAGTTATTGAAGTTCTCCGTGTTGCAAGTAAGACTCTTTTTTCCAGTTTGTACGTTGCATTGAGTCTAAATTCTTTAGATATTCTTGATCCTTGCCGTGCGTTTTTACGAGGATTGCATTTCTCCTGCTCAAATACTGGAGTGCGTTTCACGGTCAAATCTCGCGAAGATTGGTAGACTAGAATCCCAAACGAAACTACAGCAAAAACTAATAAGATTATAAACCTCGCCTGTATGGATCCAGTTCTAAATCTCCAGCACCTCATCCTTGTTTTTGGCGTCAAACATCGCATCGCCATAAGTTACTACATTCTACCCTTACCCTCTAACAGTTGTGAATGCCGCATGTGCAAACGTCAACAAAGCATTTCGAGATAATTCACCTTGCAGGGGAGGGGTGAAAGGAAAAATCGTCACCCACCCGGCTCAGTGGCTAGAGAGCTTCTTATTTTTATCTTCAAGAAAATAATTGTAAAAACCTTCATATTTAAAGATGATATTAAAAACAAGTATGAATTTTGTAGCATTTTAACGCCAAAAATACCGATGAAAAATATACTTATCTCACCTTTCCCTCGCAAAGATGAATAAGTTAAATAAAGTGTTCGACAAGTCATGCTTATCTCTTTCGCAGCGCCAAAAACGAAATCGAAATTCATCCCAATCTTGATAACAGCGGGAATCGTTAGAGTTTCTGTGAGTCTTTTCGTTTCTTTCTATAGCTTCCATTCAAATTTTTTCTTATCAGTTATAAAGGAAAATAAATTTCAAACTTATTTCTGAGATGATGAGTTTTTCTCTGCAGCGAGTTAATTTTTTTCGGCAATCTCTGACCACGCATATAGAGTTACTGTTAACCCCTCTTTAAACCGGAAAAGTTATTTTTTAATCGATCCCAACTTAGATAATGCTCTAGGTTCGGGTCTTTTTTTCTCCTGGAAGTGCGATCTGTAGAGAGTTAACCCTTTGATCTCGGTATCTGATCATCTCCCGTTATTATTTCAGTAAATAATAACTACCTCTCTATCAAAACAACTACTTTATCGACCCGGATGGCTTCCAAGGTCAAAAATTTTAATGACTGAACTTTACATGTGTCATTGATTAGTGCATTTTTTATTTACTCGCAACATCCAAAGTTGTTAAGAGTAGAGATTTTATCGTGGAGAGCTAAACGAAGATGGCAAAGTTCTATTTAGTGTGGACTTTTTGTTAACAGGATTTATCTCAGTATCTAAAGCTCACGACCTTTACAAGGCGGCTCTTTGAAAACATCTTATCAGAACCGCTGCGGTAGCTAATCTAAGAGCTCGGCTGAGTAAAGCAATTGCCGATTTCCGTTTCACCTTTGGCCACTTTTCCAAAGCGAGTCCCGATTCTCATCCTTTCGATAGTTTTATGAGTTTTCATTCACACGCAAATCAACCCAATCAACTCCACTTTCCTTGCGAATGATTAAGCCTCGTTTCGGAAAAGAGGCCCAAGGCAATTTCGAAAAGTGCCTTTCTCTTTTGCCCTTGTTACATTACGGTCGATCTTCACTTATAATTTGGTTGTCAGGTAAAGACAATAATCGGTCAACTTTTGTTTGAAGCAAGTAAAGTATTAGTGCCTGTTTCAGACAATCGGTTTTTTCGGGGATGGCGGAACAAAGCGGCATGGCGCACTTTACAGATCCATAGAGTAGTCCTTCCCATACCCCCACCGTTCGAACTCTCGCATGACCGAAACTAAGGTAACCATAGAAGGCCTTAAAACTTTTCGTTATACACTAAGTTGCCTTCTAAACCAAACAGACCAATATTATAACCTCACGTCAACCGGTCCCCTGCCAATTTTGGCTATTTACACTAATTCCCTTTGACTGTTGATAAGTTCTTCGTTGTACCTTCCTCCGCTCTTATCAATAGTTGTTGAACACCTAACTATAACCACAAGGACACCAGCATCTTCAAAACAATATAATTCTTTCCTTCTCTCTTTTTCTTAAATGTCTTTCATGCATGATGATAAACTCTCTATATAAAATCAATATATTCCTCTTGAATTGTATAAATCTTAAAATAACTATATATCTTTATATATACATTTATGTATGTAGATTTTCTTATATCCAACTTATAGTTGTTTCTTTCCTTATCAATTTTCAAAAATATGCTAAGTTCATTGATTGATTGATTGGTACACTGATTGATCGACAGTTTAAAATTTAATTATGTAAAAATAGTTTTCAAAAAAATTCATATCGTCCATCAGTTTACCAGAGTTGTTGGCATAGAATCTGGACCCTTTTCCTTGAAAATAGGCCTCTTATTTCTTAGCCAACTTTGGAATCGAATGTAAAGATGTGTTTCATTATGACAACAGAGACCAACGGGGATAAATATTTTTAAAAAATTGGTTATAGATTCGTTGGTCGTAGTTGAGTTTAAGCTTAGCTTAATAAGCCTGTTTAACGGGTATACAAACGCGTGACATAAAAAATAAAAATCATTTCATTTGCTCAGTAAGTCTTCAAGACGATAACCACTGCATTACCAGTCACGCAAAAAACCATCATTGTTCGTAAAAACGTGACAAAGAGCAATCGATGAAGAGAGACTTCTTATCCAGAGTGTAGCATGAGAATATTAAGCGCAATTATCTTGTTAGCATAGAGAATGAGTCACGCTAACACAGGTGACCCACTGTCTAACTCCAAATATGTGATTACCCATGAATCCATTTGGGCAGAGGAAACTCAATCTTTTGGTTCATGCGCAGTAAATTCTGGTTATGTTTGGAGTAATACCGCTGCAAGAACTGTTCAGTCTGCTGGCTCATATAAACTGGTCTCGTTTCTTTGAAGCCCAGGCAATCCGTCACGTTGGAGGAGGATTTGGGACAGTAAAGACCATTCGATTCATCATATCTGTTAAAAAATTTCACCAGGAAAAGTTTGATACTCTACAGTTTTCATGTGGAGACTGAAAAATTGATCTGCAGATTTCTTAAGGTTCTTACCAGATCTTCTCCAAAAGCAACACGTTTTATATTTTATTCTATACAGCATAGTTACCTTAGAGTTTGCGAGTAGTCCTGACGGGTTTCTACCCGAATAGTTTCTTGAAGTGTATTCATGACCGTAAAGGGCCTGGAAACTATATCATCTGCGCTCACTATTGACATCTGTGTGGAATTAAAGGATTAAGGGTTTTAATTCCAGTAACCAATAATGTTATAACGTATGCCAGGTTTATCGATCTGTCTCCGTATGGACATACTGATTTAGCTCGGGGGTGGGGAGGGGAGAGAAGGAAGGGGGTAAGGAAAGGCCGCGATGGGCCTCGGGAGAGGAGCAACATTCATTGTCGCTTCATACCATGGAAACCGAGATTAGCTAAAGGAACTGTGGAGTTTATTCTTGTATGCCATACTGACATGGCGTCGGGAAACCGCTCAGAAAACTAAGACAAGCTTTGGCAACTGTTAGGTTCATTCCCGCAACGAGATCTTTCACCGACAAAGAAAATCCTCCACTTGTCACACAGGAGAAAGAGAAAAAAAAGAAAAAGATGATCGCTTACAAACTCGAAGTGCAACCATATTTTGACATCTGTGAAACTGATATAACCTGAACTAAACTGGACTAAACTGGGCTTACCTGTTCTGGACCTACCTGAATCTAACCTGGACTAAACTGGACTAAACTGGACTTACCTGTTCTGGACCTACCTGAATCTAACCTGGACTAAACTGGACTAATCTGAACTTACCTGTTCTTACAGGTTCTTACCTGTTCTGGACTTACCTGGATCTAACTTGGACTAAACTGGACTCACCTGTTTGAGGTTATAATATCTCATCCACCGTGCGATGTGCTCAGAGTAGTGCCCAGCTTCCAAAATAGTTCGCTTGATCCCCGACAAGCGTTTGTCTCCTTTGGATTTGACGAGATCGTCGAAGCTCGGTAGATTGGATCCTTGAACGTCTTTCAGATGCTACAGGCAAAGAGAGCATATGATCGATTACATGCTAAATTCTGGACACCGACCAGCATTTACAAAAATCAACTGATACATAGGAAACCCACCTGATAATGGTAGAGAGCTCTTTTCACAGGATCTTCCAGGATTATAAATATTTTGGCGGACTTGAGGAGACTGCTGGCTCGGTACGGTGTCGCATGGTCAGTGAAATACTCGTCACTAACTTCGTAAGACATCTGCTTGAATTTCATCGGACGTTGGAAACATGTCATGTACCTGGGGAAAAAAAAAAAGAAAAGAAAAAAAGAAAACAGTTATGGACGTCTTCAGAACACGATCAGAAACTACTACACGAAATGTCTCGCGCAAAACTTAAGCAAAACAAAAGTTCTGTCCTTAAGAATGTTACTCTGGCAAAGTGCCCTGACCCATGGAGAAACCCTCTCGTAAAAAAAAAACAAAACGCTCTCGTAAGAGCTTGAAGAAAGGAGAATGAAACCAAACAAAACAAAGTGAAACCATAAAAGAAAACTTTTAGCGCTTTTTCTTAAATTTTACCAAGACTGAGATTATGGACGAATAACAATGATGAAAATTAAATAAAATCCACCACCACCCCCCAAAAAATCAAAAAGCGTAATGTGAATATGAGACCATATCAGCACTTCGTTTCCAGTTCTCCTCACCAGTCTAATCCTTTCATGTAGTTATCAGTGTTGAAAAATCTCGTTCCTTTCGTGATGTTATTCGTGTTCACTGCATGCAAAAAGTCTGGGTGAAGTTTAAGAAGTGTCACAAGTGCGTCCAGGCCCCCGAACGGAGCGCCGATTACTAAGAACGAAGGGAGCCTGTTGCAGGACTTGTCCTTTGGCCAGATTTGAAGATGGCGGTTGTCGTCACATGGGCTCTACGATAACAAATACGTACCGAGTTTAGAAAGCTACTGGGCTTTATTCCTTCAACATTTTCTACAGATTCCTTGATAAAAAGCCATATAACTCCCAGAAGTCATTGCTTCTGGGAGCGGGAAGAAGCGAGGGAAAAGTAGAGAGAAGGGGAAACAAGAGTGCGGGAGAAGGGAGTAGAAGGGGGGGGGAAAGGGGGGGGAGAAGGGAGTAGAAGGGTCACTAAACACAGGCTACGGTCAGGCTACTGTTAATGAACTGAAATAGTATCCCAACTTCATAGACCAGCATACCCAACGCGCCCTCCCCTCTCCACTTCCCCCCCGGATAAGTCGTTTCAGTGGTTGATCAAGCGACCCCTTAGGAAGAAACATTGTTTTTCAGTAACTCACCAACCAAACTGGACTTCTGTCCTGCGGAAACAAACTGAAGTAGATATCAGCGAGTTCAAGCGACGAAGCGTATTTCAACTCCAAGTTAGTCCAGCGGTAAACAAAGTTAACGAGCCGGCTGATTGTGTACAGAGCCAACTGGTCATTGCCATAGTTTGTCATGTGAGTCATCACCACCGTAACCTGTTGAAGAAAAGAAATTAAATTTCAAGCTAAGAAGATTAAAAATGATTCTTACTGAAAGGGAGCAAAGTATAGTAAGTCAATTTATTTAGAGAATACCATTTTACTGAAACTTTTAAGCGTATCCCAAGTGTGAGAATCTTTCACGAAATAAGTCCAACAAAGGCCCTAAGTAACACTTACTGGATTTCTCAAAAGAGTTTCGAACAGTTCACCACCATCAATACTTCTATCCAATGCTTTCTTTCCTCCTTTGATCTCGTAGAAGAAGTTAGTAGTGGTAAACAAACCGCAAGTCTGGCGTGGAAGAACCTAAAAAAAAAAAAAAAAAAATCACAGTTTACGATTGGAAGCTCTAACTTTTAAGTCAGCGGATGCAACCATTAGAATGAAAAAATGGGGTAGCTCTCTAAAGAAACTGTGGTTCTGCGTTGGTGAGGGTATTACAAGATATTTTGGTTTTATTAATCGAATTCATAATCTTAATTAGCTAACAATTCCAGCGTTGGCCCTTCGTCAAGCGAATGATTCGAAAGACTAGTCTGAGATGACTCATATGAAAGCTACTGAGCAGAATTTCAGCCGCGGTACTTTTTGTTCCTTAAATAAAGTAGTAAAAAAATTATTATCTACCTTGACGCCTTTGTACATAAATCCTCTTCTAAACCACGCAGGCTTCAAGTGAGGATATTCCTCAGTTGAGGTGACACGGACTTTTCGAACCGCTGACCATGCATCATAAAGAGGGTCGTGCACTGGATACACACCAGAGTGGTGTGGGGCAACCATGTACGAGAAGTTCATAGGAATACAAAATGTCTACGGAAACAAAAGAATTGCGTCGAAGATCGATCTTAAAAAGGCTATTCCCCGTTGGAGCATCTTAAAAAAGGAATTAAGCCTTGAATTTCAAGTCTGCCACTAAACATTTGTAAAAGGTTGTAAACAAAATAAAATGAAGCATGAGTCGGTCTTGATGTCCAGTTTTGAACGACTGGTAGATTTCTTCCATACAATGAGATAATTCGCTCCAGACTTCTGCAGTAGTTAGGTCTGTGAACAGACTTAATTCGTTTTAAAGGACTTTTGCAACTATATCACGCACCTAAATTTTGCCGCGAACGGTGGCTAACGATGTAAATTCATAAACCTTAATCGAAAATCCCTCCCAAAGGCTTCGAAAAACTCGCACTAAATGTTACAGTGTTTAACGCAATATAAAGACCAAAATCGAGAAAAACTGGACGATATAGAAAAGGTTTTGACTCGTGACACCGTTCGAAGATGCAGCCAATGCGCCTGCGCCAAAACTTAGATGTCCCGTATGGGAACCCAGAGAACGATAACGCGTCGACCAGCCGCAACACTAAGTTATTCGTAAGTACTGTACCTTAGCAAACTGCTCATTAGCGGTAAGTGACCTGACTATTTCTTTGTAGGTGTGTTTATGAGGCTGTTCATGATCGTACAAATGCCCAAACCACGTAAATTTATGCGCATGCTCTACCAGGGCTTGATCCCCTCCATCTTCTTCGTCGTCTCCTTGTCTAAAGCCACGCCCTGAGAAACCAAGATTGAACTTGAATCCTGGAATTTTTTGCGCGAGTCTCTCTTGTACTGATATCAGCTCCTAAAAAAATAAAATATACCAGATAATCCTATAATTCCTTAGAGTGAATGCAGGGCTCGAAATTAACAAAAATTCTTGATCGCAATTTGCGAGTAATTCCTAAAATTTAGTTGCAAGTTCTAAAATTTTAGTCGCAAAAGTACCCAAGCCAAACAAAATATAATTAGAAACGAAGATTTCCTAGAAATTTCGTGAGCGTTGCAGGACGTAGTTTTTAAAAAAGTGCGCCCGCGATACGTTCTCAGCAAGAAATCAACGATTAAAGTCACGCAACATTTAACTTGAATTTCGCAGGATTTTTCGGATAAAACAACAGCAACCAATGACAAGTAAAACACAGGGCTGTTAAATATGATTTATTTATAAGCTAGGCTGTAAAACGGTCGCAAAATCGCTACCAACGGAGAAATTTTACTCGCATAAGCGAAATCTTTATTCTCAAATGCGCCCGATACAGGCCCAATTTCGAGCCCTGGAATAGCGTGTGACTTCTCTTTTTAGTATCACTGCATCATCATACATTTAAGTCATGAGAATAAAGGAACCGATCATAGACTTAGGACGCTTTCCCCCTTCAAGCCTTCAGAGTGATATGCATCTAAATTCTCCTAACAGAATCACCCCTGAATCAAACATTACGGTCAGGAGAATAAAGGAACCGATCATAGACCTGGGAAGCTTCACCCTACAAGCCTTTAGAGTGATATGCATCTAAATTCTCCTAACAGAATCACCCCTGAATCAAACATCAAGGTCAGGAGAATAAAGGAAATGATGACCAACTGAAGAAGCTCTTGGTTGTTAGACAAATTCTCGCGAAAGTGTTGTGTGATCGTCGTCCGGTTGAGTGTAGTCCTGAGAAGGACTGTTGTCGGTGGTAGTGACTGACGTTTCGACAACCTGTGCGGAAGTGATCATCAGTGTCAAGTGAATAGGTGTTGTCAGTAGGATGTTCCTAGTCCAGTTCGTGTAACATGATTGGTCAGTTTTCCCGTGATGTTATTGGCTGTAAGACTCAAGTGGCGTAAGTCGGTCGTGATTGGCCTGTTTCGATCCGTCGGTAAAAGACAAATTCTCCTTGCAAATACCATAGGAAATGTATAGAGAACCGTACGGAGAATATGCATACTGATGTTCAGTTGTTAAGAGATTGACATTGGTGGTAAAGCTTAACGAGACTAACTATTCGGGGTCTTGGGCAGTAACAATCAATCCACCGGGCCTCATTTGCCAACTTTTTACAGAACTTAAAGAAATCATTTATCTATTAATTCGCGACAAACGATCTATCGAGTGATATAGAGATCCAGTTTTCTTAAGAAATGAACGAAGTTTGGGTCGTTTGACTTCGCTGGACGTTGCAATCAAGAAGAGATGAGTGTAAAAGGGCTGTGCAGGGACGTTGATGACGAAGCCTTGCCAAAGAAAACCGGTTTAAAGAGAGAAGTCGCCATACAGTTGGCCTTAAACAGCTTATACAATTAATCCTATTCTTCAACGATGAGAACCCTTTTAACAACTCTACACGTGACATGCCGAGGTAATAATCTGTGCACGAATCTTTTTTCATAAAATGAGCCTTAAATTTCTTTCAAAAAAGTAGCTACGGGGACTTTTGTTTTCCAAGTAATTCAACATTTCAGATAAAGGAGAAATAACTGGCAACCGCCTAATCGTGACAAAAAACAAATATGCAAGCACAGAAGAGGTCTCAAATGTTTTACACGTTAACACCACTTCACGCATCACGGGGCACACGGATTTCGCAATTTTAAAGTAACAAAGTAAAAACGTTAGAGTAGGAAAACGAGGAACACGGAAAGACGACGTTGATTTTGCACAAGTGCGTACTTTCATTTCTTTCCGCCAAAAAGTTTGACGTGTGTTCAAAGTTAGTAGGAGCTTTTCTTTAATATTGATAAAAAATAGTAACACTAGAACTTTCACGTTTACAAGGATACTGTGAAATTAAACTCGTCAAGTTCACACTGAATGCATTTCAGCCAGCGAAAAGGTAGAGGAAAACTCATGCAAACATCTATCACATAACTTAAGGTTAACTGATGATTTCCAGTGTGTTTAAATAAACATTCACAAATGAGACAGTGAGGTCTTTCACATCGAACTTTATCCTTTCAATTTAAAAGACAATTTTTGTTAACTCACTCCAATGGACTATTTTCTCTGAAGGGCTTTTAAAATAAGCTGACTTTTTTGGTCGTGGTATTGCCGGAGGCTCGAAAGCGTTGTGTGGCGCGATAGGAGGCAAGAAACTCAAAGGCAGATGAAACCTAATTTAAATGTAAAAGTTCTACAATTTTCCACAACAAGGTCACCAGGCCCACTCGGCCCTTGGTCTCACCTTGCCGCACTCTCCATGAGAAAAGTTGAATATATTTATGTTGGAGGCCCCTAAGAGACTAGCACGGGTTAGGATTGGGCATTAAGGGCGAATCCTCGGAAAAGATGTGGCCAGCCTTTTCATACAAAGTCTATGATTTGTGTGGAGAGGACATCTCGGAAAGCGAGAGAATTGATGCGAAAATTAATATTTAATTAATAATTAATATTTAATCCTGGGCATGAAGAGTTTACTTTTACTGCAAGACACGGTTACATCACAATTAAGCAGGAGTTAAGATAGAAAAAGGCTCAAGAAATAACGAAACGAAACTTGCGTATTAACAGGTTCAATATTTTTAAGACAATTTCCGTGTGCTGAAAACCCTCACTTTCAAAGTGAGGCTACTAGCAAAACCTTTTCAGAAAATAAGTCATACCTGCATGAGAAAAAAAATCATTTTTATTTCAAGAACGATGCACTTTCCCTCGTACTTATCGAACATGGGCTTATAAAAATTATCAAAAACACTCCCCTCTGAGGCTTACGACCAAGACAATAACAACAAAATCTAATTTTAGACATTAAAACGTTCTAATAGCGCCAGGAATGGTGCGAAAAGAAGGTTTAATGCTGAATGAGTGAAAATAGCGGATATAAATGACTAGACTCGGAAAGGCTTTGTGAAATTGAATCTGGCGACATTACAAAAGAACAAAAAGAAGAAATAGAGAAATCATGAATCAAACGGCTTTAATCCAACCCAGTGTCACGAAAAGTGTGGCGGTGAAGGATTCACAACTTTGGCAAAACAACATGTAGGTGATAAAGAGCGAGAAACATGTACTGCACTGGTGCGTACCGTGAATCGAAAGCGTTGTAAGAAATTTTACATTCGCTTTAGATGCTTGAACAAATGTTTCATCTCGTGCGGCCAAAACCTACCTTGTAATGCGATTTATTTTCTAATTATAGTACCTAACCACAAAGTCTGTAAACAACCAAAACATCATGGCTCGTACTTAACGAAATCTTATTAATTGTAAGATATGGCAGCCAATTAAGCTATGAAGAAACTTCTAGATTTTCAGACCCAATTTTTTTTTTAAATTAAAACTTCATGATTAAAAATAGGCGTTTTTTGAGTTTTGGTTCTCAAAATCACAGTGATTCCGTAATAGTAGAATGTAAGAACACTTGAAAGTTAGAAATTTAATTCAAATGTAATACCCAAACGGTTAGCAAACGAACTAAGTACGAAGGTACGTCAGGTTGCACGTTCTTTCGGAGGCGAAATACCTGCAATATTTCCAAAAAACTTTGTGGTTTTAGAAGACAAAAAAACATTGTTGCCAGGAAAATATGGCTGTTGACAACTCGAGTACTAGCGTGAAAAATGCACGCGTAAAAGGTGTTGTTAAACGGGAAAAAATCATCGATACTTAAGGTCAGGGTTTTCCCAATGAAAAAAAAAACCATTATCCAAAAGACATCAAAAACCCAATTCCTTCAGGAAAGCTTGAATGAAAGCCTTTGTATGAAAACTGAGTATTACCTAACCCCTCCACCAGAACTTTTCCAAGGCTCCATGCGGTTATCTGTCGTGACGTTTATACTCCGTGAATCACGCCATGTTCATAGCAACGTCACGAGAGATTACCGCATACAGCGATGAACATTCATGAATGACTCAAAGTAAACAAGACATTCACTTACCAGGACGTCTTTTTTCTTCATTCTAATCCCAGTTTTGGCGATGAAAATATCGTCTATGTCAATTTGAAGATACCTCTCTTGCGAAAACACCGTAGGTCTGACGGGAGATAAGTATTCCAAACTGTCCATAAATAACATAGTGTGAAGAAAAAAGGGAAATCCTCCACTGAAGAATACCTTTTTTACACCGTCTTTTCGACCATCATCCAAAAGTACTGTTGCTTGTTCAATCTCCGCAATTTCTAGGTCTCTTTTCCGCCGAGTTTTACGATTAACAACATACTCCACTGTTTCATAAGGAAAATCGTTTGGATTATATCGAATTAAACACCACCGTGTGCTTTGTCCCTTCTGAACATACGGCATACTAGCTGTGCCTCCTCGGCGCGCCGTTCGTAAAAGTTTCGAGTTTTCATTAAGTTCCACGTCGACCTTTTGTCGTTCTTTTTGAGGTTTGACGATTTCAATACCAAATTCTTGTATAGATCCTACAGGATTCGAGATAAAAAATAAAATTCCCGTCGCAAACTTCTTGCAATAGAGTTTCACCATTTGTTGCACGTTAGGACTAAGAAGTAAATACACCTTGATGTCAACAAAAATAACAAGCGAATACCGCCCGATTGTGGTACCCAATTTAAGATCTTCTTTCAAATCTAAATAAGGTCGGTCGTCTACTTCGCTTACAATGTAAGGGGCCCGAAGGCCGTCTAAAAATCTTGTAACAAAGTGGGAGAGTTTCGATCGTTCCTTAGTCCAAGATTTATGAACTACCAATATTTTCCTCTGTACTTGGAAAGTCTTGTTGCCAAACTGTTTCGACGAAAGCATAAAATCGTCGGAATATATTTCTTTGGTTTCATGAGGAGTGGTAGATTTCCGGCCAACTTTAGTTAACTCTGTCGCGATGACTTCGTCTGTGGACAAGGAAACATACTGAGTTAACGTTTCAACTTTTAAGAGTAACATCATGTTATTTCTCCTTCCAATATATCACTGCTAAATCGAACAATAATGTGATGTAAATAAAAGAATTGATCACCAACTAAAAAAACGTCTTGATTGACAAACAAATTCTCCTTGTCAGCATCACATGACACGTGCGGCGAACAGTGTGGAGAAAATGTATACAGATGCTAGGGTTTAAAGAAAAGTTTGAATAGAACGCGAGCATTCAAACCTCTGCTAGTTCTGAATTCACGGGTACATCCTTCATCGACTGATCTTCAGAAAATTCGTTGCCCAGTAGGGCCATGTACCTACTTACGACACCAGCGTCGGGATACGTTTCAGAATCATTTTGTAAGTATTTCAACGCATAGTGTAAGCTACCCCACGGTTACCGACACAGTTCGCATTACTGGAAGTGAAACGCAAACAGAAGAATCTAGGATTTGTACATAGAGTGCATGTAGTAAAAATACTAGCCAGTTCCATTACTGGAAGATCAATATTATTACGAACTCAAATTGCACAACATCCTTCCCGTCTAGGGTTAAAACTAACACAAGCAACGAAACCTCTTTCATTTTAAAAAAATCAAGGCTGTGGTCTAGCAGCGCCCGGTAGTCCCTGGCGCCTTACTTTTGCTCTTGGGCGACTCGGGATTTTAAGTTTTTTCAGACAAAGCATATACTAGGCAACCTGGATTTCACAGTTTCAGAGCACTGGGCTCCATTCAATTTTCCTGAGAGCAAAGCCTTGTGCGTGTTTACTTTTGTTTGAAAACGGAAACCACAACCGCGAAAAAAATTGAGTTTACAATTCCACGAGATCGCTCACTGAATGGTTGTTCCTGCGTGAAATGAAAACTATACGACACTGAAATCTACCAACATACGGTGAAACAGTTGTGACTTGCTATATGTATCCGAGAAATTTAACGTGGAACCCCTTTTTCTCCACTCGAAAACGAACGACAAGTTTTTTGATGGTTTTCTTTCATGCCCTTTTCTGCCAGAGTGGGCATTGGGAGCGAAACAAAAAATGTTTAAACTCTTTTTCGACGAGTGCAGCTACTTTCTGTCTCGTACACTCTTTCAGTTATTAAACATGATAAAAGTTACAATTATTTATCTGCCAATTCTACATATTTAATTTCAAAAAAAAGAGTTTTAGATTTTTTAAAGACTTTTCTCACAATTCAGACATTACTGCCACAGGGCACTTGTAGCAAATTTATTATCAATATTTGCGGAAAAAAAAAAAAAAAAAAAACAGGCTGATGTCTTCTTATAAAGACCCAAAAACAAATTTGTAGTTGTCCTTAGACGACCCTTGTAAAGAAGAAAATAGAATGAATTAAACCGCACAACTATTCTGAAATAACAGCAATTTACAGCGCAAACAAAGTATGTGGTGCCACGTTTAAGTATGTGGTGCGGTTTAGCGTAATGTTCGAAACTCGACAAAGCCCGCTGTTTTTGGTGCTCAGAAAAGCATCTACCAAACTCCAGGGCACAATTTTGATTTCTGTGCAAACATTACCGAGAAGTAACACCAACATTCATCCAGTTATCCAATAAATCTCCCGGAGAATTCGATTTATCTATCTGTAATACCACCTACGACGAAGCATTTGAACTATTGAGCTTATCTGTTTACATACCGGTAAGTCGAACACAAACAACTACCTCAGATTTGTTTTGCTATATTCGCAACATTCCTCATCTCAGAGGGCTGAGAAGTTATTTCCCCTTTCAATAGAATTACCTGACAAATACGTATTGCTTTGAAGGGGAAAAAAACGATATTAACGAACGGTAAGGAATGTTTCGGGGTCTTAATGTGCGCATTAAACGTTTCTGCGCATGAGGGGGGCGGGGGGGGGTTTCGCTTGTTGTATTTTTTTTTTTTTTTCATGGAATAGATGTCATAAAACATCCTACCATAGTCGTTGCATTTTAACTTTCACGCTGAAATGCTGATTGGTTTTCTCGACTACACTCGTTAATATATTGAGAATTTTTAATACTCGATTATTATGAAAAGCGTAGAGCATGGCCACTTCATTGTACCCGGAACAAAATTTCCCCGAATAACAAAGTAAGAATTGAGAAACTGCTACATTTGAGAGCTCTTTACATTAAATATTTCCTAGATAAGAGAAGATATAAATGCCTCTATTTCAACCAGATTGCAATCAAAACAGGAACAAGAAAACATCTGACAAGCACAAAAATCGATCTATTAATTGAGTTCCTGTGGTTATCAAGTTTCACAAATTAATCGCGGAGGTTTGAGGTTATCGCTCGTTTACAATAGGGTATTGAAAATGAAAGTCACTTTATCGCAATAAACAATCTTCGCAAAAACGCAATCTCCGTTTCAAGCCATTACTGAAGAGTTACTTATGTGTAACAGCCACTCACATTGCGAAAATATCACTTTCACGTGAACTGTTTCTGGAAGAGGTTTTGAAAATGCGAGAGGTGCGGGAAAGAAAAGCTAAGTGGGCGACGCGACTTATGTAAACAACACCTTGTGAGTTTAGATAAGAAAACAATTCCAGCACCTTAAGGAGTTTTAGCCTAATTGAATGGTCTTCTACTTTACTACTTTAGGTGTACAGTTTACTTTTCATTAAGAAAACGTTTAAATCGCGTTACGGGACAAAGTTTTCGCGAGTTCATACGATCGTAAAACCCCGGCACAAATTACTTAATATCTATAGCTCGGCAAAATGACAGATGTTTTTTCTTTCGAAAGCCAAAACATTTCTAATATATTCAGTATGCGAAAGGGCTCAAAGGCGGTTTCCTTTTCTCCTAAAGCTCGGTTTTTCATTTCAAATCCATTTCCCAAATTCGCTTTTACCTTGATTTTGTCCTCTTTCAAAAGAACGAACGACATCGTTCGATAGCACAGAAAAGAATTCAAAATCGCTAGCGATCGAATGTTATTTTTTTCGATTTAGAAGAGGCACAATTCGCAATCATTGTTCAAATCGTAACTGAAAAAAAAAAAAAAGCCAGTCTTGACCAAAACTTGCATCTTTTAGAAGAATAAAATAGCAAACTCTTGAAAAAAACAAAACCCTCAAAAGGCAAAATAAACGTAATTTACATTGGTGCTTTAACGTTTCATAAGTGCCGACGATATCTCCATCGTACGTAATTTAGAAAACATCTGGGTGAATCGCAAATTGATTAGAAAATGTTCTAAAATAACTGGTCCACATTTGTAAACTTTTTTGACACCAAAGGACCGTATCTTTGCGTTAAGAAAACAAATCTTACAGCTGAATCAATCTCGTAAGTTTGATGTATTATAGAAAACCGTTCAGTCTTTAAAGTTCGTTTTACAAAGCGGAGTTAAGATTTTGTGCAAATAATATTATCACGTACTACTATTCGGCAAAAATAGCAATCCTATTGTCAACATATGGGCTTAAAAAAGAATGCTCAACGACAAACAGTGGTGATTTCTTTTCCGTTTTAGCATAACCGGTAGCATAGACTAGCAGGAAAAGAAGAATTCGGAAGTACCTTTTGATAAATCGTATGTGCGGAACTCGTTTTAAATCTTGAACAATGCCTACCGGTGCAAACTGAAGATGAACTGAACAAACCAAAGATTGTAAATCTCATCTTATTAGCCACTAAATAGCGACTCTTTTAAGCTCAAAAAAACGTCCACAAAGGCCAAACAGGCACGTGCAAACAATTGTGTGACGAAGTTTTACGCGCCGAACTGAAAATCTCGCTCATATTATTCTTGTGTGAATTACATTTCATTATACATGGCGTAGACTACGGTCTGGACGGCAAGAATGGCAAAATATATCTAACACAACCACGAACACGCCTGATTTGACCACCAGCAAATTTTTGCTTGAAAACATGCTTTATTTTGCGAACGGAATAAAGTTCAAAATACGCCATTTCACAATGCATTCGAACATGTTTGTCAAATTTACTGTTGAAGTCCTTGGCTCGNTTATGTTTCCATTGTTAGTGCCTGCTGCAGCAAATCCTGCTGTGTTAAAAATTATGGCCTGTAAACTGAAAAGCTAGCCCTATTCAGGCCATTATGAATCCTTTGAGAGAAATGTTGTCACTTGGACACCTAAGCTTCAAAGTTTCTACCTCGTGTGCAAAAAAATGCAGCAGTAGAGCCGAAAGGCGTTTCCCTGGCAAAGTGGTTGTTCCCATGGGAAACAGACGAACTGAACAGACACCAAGCTATCTCCAGTGTAGGCGTTCGTTGAGTGTTCACTGGAGGGGGCCAGGGATCGGACATTAAAATATTTTAGTTGTGTGACGTTAAAATTTTCTGATCCTTTATAAGGCTCTTTGGTTTTTTTGTGATGACCCCTCATTGGCTCTTAATTAGAAGTCAGTTTTCTATACTCCTTCCCTTGTAAGAACTGATCCCCTCCGTTACCTCCTGAAAACAATCAATCCCAAAATCCTCCCCCCTCTCCCCAGGCGAAAATTAAAATAATGGTGCCTAACGTTTGGAATGCCATCTGGCTGTTGGCCTTTGTGAAAGGGGAAAATGTTATGAAAATGTGATAAAGTATAAAAAATCCATTCAAATAACTGAAAATTGTTCCCCCGAACAAGTCTTCCTTTTGGCAAGTGTAGAACTCGGCAAGCGTCAAATTAGTGACCAAGGATTCAAAGATATTCATCGATCGCCACGCCCTTGTCATTGAAAATAATCCCAATGTTTTATCTTTTTTTCCATCGTAAGGGTCATGCTTTCTTATCGCTAGAGATGACATGAGATCGTTTCAGGAAAATACCTTTCAAAAATGAAAATAAGAAAAACGTTATTGCTTTTCGTAACGATTGTATTTTAATTTTACATCTGGGGTCTCTTAAAGAGCAACGTAAATTAGGGAGAATCTGCACAATTTGCATATTGAAGTTCAGTTGGCAAATTTTCTTGGTTGTTTATTTTTAATTCATGTCGATCTTCTCCAGCTTCGATTAGGCTTATTTATTTCTACTTATTTATTCCATTTTGGAGTTTTTCCCTCGTACAGAGCAGAGCTTTATATTTTGTGGATTCCCTTGTACTGGTATAGAGATCTGCGCACTGTAAAAAAGAGTACTCAACTTATTGTCACCCAGCTCCTCTAGAGTTACCGGATTAGTTTACGATGAAATTACAAATGAC